TGGCTATACTATCTCAGGAGGAAGATGAGGATAATGAGGAAGATGACGGCTGCGAAGGCATTGATGCTATTGGTTGATATTTCCCAATATGGCGTCGTTTTGGAAGTGTTTGTGATTGGTCGTGCGCGGTAGCACCAATGACGTATGTACATATATAATTAGACCAAGCATTCCTACAGCTTATAGGCAAGGGGAGTGAAGCCGGAAGTTGGCAGTTTAAGGCAGAGTGAGGGTGCTTTCACATGGAGCGTAAGTTGCGTAGCGTAACCTGCGTATCGCCAATCACAGGACTAGTTCAACGGAATTATTGAAACGGTTCTATCAGCATGATCCTGTGTTTGGTGATACGCAGGTTACGCTACGCAATTTACGCTCCATGTGAAAGCATCCTGAGGCTGGATTCACATGGAGCGTAACTTGCGTAAGCGTAACCTGCGTATCACTAATCACAGAACTATTTCAACGGAATTATTGCCTGTGTCCAGCAGAAGTTTGCGCTTGCTAAGCGCTTTGCGTTCATTGGATTATACTTTCAGATCTGTGCTGAAATAGAGCTATTCTTCTAGATCTATCCAATCAGCATAAAGCGCTTATTCTTAGCTAACTTCGGCAGAACACAGCCATTGAAACGGTTCTATCAGAATAACCCTGTGATTGGTGATACGCAGGTTACGCTACGCAAGTTACGCTCCATGTGAATCCAGCCTCATTCTGATAGAACCGTTTCAATAATTCCGTTGAAATAGTTCTGTGATTGGTGATACGCAGGTTACGCTTACGCAAGTTACGCTCCATGTAAATCCAGCCTTATATCATGCACCGAAGCGCTCGCCCCAACCCGATTCAGGGGCCCGATTCTTGAATTCATTCGAAGATGGAAGAAACGTATACGAAAACTCTGCTCTGACAGAAAAGTTGAAAGTCTATTGGTTAAAGCCATGCGAGTAGCCAATCAACTTGCAACTTTTCTGTAAGAGCAGAATTTTCGCATACGTTTCTCCTTCGAATAAACTCAAGAATCGAGCCCCTGACCCCGACTCTAGCCCACTTCCTCGGTGGAAACGTAGTCCATGGTGCATCATGCTCATCGTGCGCGAAACCGAACGCACCCCTGTTTAGCAGCCAATCGACGCGCTCGAAAATCTTGTGGCGCGACAAATAGTAGCGTCGCCCGAAAGTCAGGGCGCGTATGTACCGACGCGCCGTTTACGCGCTCGCCCATTGGCCGGGGCCGGCGGGCCAATGGACACGCGGCGCAGGAGGCAGCGCGCAACATCGTCGCACAGCAAGCACGCTCAATAAACGGCGCTAGTGTCTGTCAAGTGTCACAGCCGTTCCCGTCGGCCGACAGTGTTGTGAGACTCGAATCGGTGATTTAATTAGGAATAACGTACTTCTTTTTTTTAGTAAAATTGTGAAACTTTAAGCAATAATGACCGACAAGAAAGGTAACTATACGACGTAATCGCGCGTTACCACTTAGCTGCGGGTAATGTACACTGACCAGAGGAAGGGAAATACACACACACGCACCCACACAGGCATACGTACAGACGCGCGTTCACACACGCGTGCACACCAACGCGCCCATACACGTACGCGACGCATACGATACGTGCGCCCGCGCGCACACGTACACGTACACACGTATATACGCTCGTCGAGATAAGCCGTGCCTCACCACTTGTCATTTGCCGCGACGGCCGGTCGTCGCCTGAGGCGACGTCGTCGACGCGACTCCTGGTGCGGACGGCCCACGGCGCAGCGAGGCGTCGCTCGCCCATCGCGCGCGTTGGCCTCCGGGCGCCGGCACGGGCCGCTCGGCTACCTGGCCCCCGGGTTGACATGACAAATCAATACCGCGCATCGCGCTGGGAATACAAAATGGCCTCCGGAGAGTTGTTCATTCTCTTACCGGAGAGACAGAGAGAGAAAGAGGGGGAGAGGCAGAGGGAGAGAGAGAGAGAGAGAAAGGAAAAATGAAAAGATGACAGAGAAACCTCTCGTATTTACGCCCCGGACTTTTTCTCGCGAATCCTCTTCGGATCTCTCTCGTAAATCTCTAGATTCTCGCGCCCGCGTCCCTCGGCCACTCGCTGAAAGACCCTCGGGTCCTCGTTTTCGCGTCTTCGAATCTCGCGTGCACGCGCGTTCCTGAGTCCCGCTCGTGTTCGTCAAGCTTTTTCCAAGCCCCGCGTATCCGCACTCCTCGCGGATGTTCTCGAGGGCTCGCACGGATCCTCGCGAATCCGCGCGACTCGTGGACGATCGATTTCCTTTGTGCGCTCGAATTCCCGGAATCCCGGTTACTCGCCGTCGTAGATTCTCATATTTTTTTTTTAGACACTTGTTTTCGACATTTCGCTCTTTACTCTTGCCTCTTGCGTTTCGCCTCTCAATTCTTGGACTTTGCTCGTCGAGTTGTAATTAACGTTCGCGACATATTTTTAATCTTCGATGACAAAGCACCGTGTTAAAACCAGGCCACAAATTCTTGCCTCGGTTTTCGCCAACGTCGCTTAACCTTGAATCCTAGTCGAATTCGTCTTTCGTCTCTTTCCGTTCCTACTCAGAAAGACACAAAGGACGAATCGAACCAAGATCAAAGTTGAACGACGTTGGCGAAAACCAGGAGTAGATTATCGAGTTGGTTATTGGAGCCTTGAACTCTTCTTTCTTTTGTTCAGTCATTGGCTGCGTAAAGGGGCCCAATCACGAGTCTTTTTTCCCTAGCGTAAACTCGTGAAAAGTGTGAAAAATTTCATGGATTAATGTTAAACTCGTCAATGAAATTTTATCACTTTTCCAGCACACGCCAGAGAAGAAGATCCATGATCGAGTCCCAGCAGAAAAGGCTGCTTTGCAACAGGTGTAAAATTTGTAAATTTGATTAGAGCACGCTCCTAGGCCGGTATTCATAGTCAGATTTTACGTTTAACGCCTGGTTTCACCAAACGTCGCTTAACTTTAATCTTGGTTTAATTCACGTTTGTCTCTTTCTAAAGTAACAGGCGAAAAGAGACAAAGAACGAATTAAGCCAAGCCTAATGTTAAACGGCGTTGGTTAAACCTAAGACAGTCTTGAATTTATCTAAAGATGCTGCGTGGAGCATTTCATTGGCTACGGAGTATCTAAAGATGATCTTAAGACAGTCTTGAATATAAAGTAAGCGGCACACGACGCTTTTCTTCCTGCTGGATTGCTTGCAATCTAGTAAATTGCTATAATTGCATCACTCAGCACTCAGCATTTCCAGTAATTTACAAAATCGCAAGCAATCCAGCAGGAAAAATAGCATCGTGTGCTGCTGGCTTAAGATCCGACTATGATTACCGACCCTGGATTCTGCCATAGTTAAGAGCACATGCCAATCAGATTCAAGATTTTTTCAACATTTGCAAAGCAGCTTTTTCTGCTGAACGCAGCCAATATGTCTGCTAATACGGACACCTGATTTAACAAATGTAAACACACACACACACACACGCACACATTTGTACAGTCTTATTCATTAACGCCCAGACCTGCATTTTTATCATCATTTTTCTCATCTATACAAATCACTGAGTTTCAGGCGGTATGTACGTACACTAAGGCCGGTATTCATAGTCGGATCTTTTATTCAAGACCGTCTTGAATTTATCTAAAGATGCTGCATGGAACATTTTATTGGCTACGGAGTATCTAGAGATGATCTTGAGACGGTCTTTAACATAAGATCTGACTATGAATACCGGCCTAGGAATCGCTGATGCCTTCCCACATGAATTTAGACACAGGTAAAACACATACATCTTCCATGTATATGCAAAATGTATAAACGCGTGCACAAATTCACGTGGGAAGGCATCGGTGAGTCCTAGTGTACTACCCCAGACTTCTGTAGAAGCTGTGCGAACTACAGCCTGAAACTCGTCGATGTACAAATGGGAATAAAGACTATGAAAATGTGAATCCTGGTAAAACTGAGGTCCAGGCACGAACGAACAAGACTGTGCACGTTTGTATACGTAGAGTACAGGCTCACGTAGTGCGGACTGTACTGGTACAGTAACGAGATAGTCGAAAAACTATTACAGTGTGTATATATATATTTGTTTTTGCAAATAACAACGCACGCAACACACATCAAGGATACGTTCCAAAGCCTCCTCCGAGGCAAGTTTCACTCGATGGCCATTCCGAAACTTTCTCGAGCAATCCCGGTTTGGTTTCGACCCATCAAAAATTTTCCCCGGGGAAAATGTCTTGGAGCGCTAACCCAAGAATCCAAACGCGAGTTTTACTATTGGGTCATACAGCAAAGATCCCAAGGGTGCAAGTCGACGTTGCTCGCGCGTTCGCATCAGCGGGTAGATCGGTTCTCCGGAAGCCATGCCCTTGTATTGCTCAGTCGTCATTCTTACAGATGTAGGGGCCTAGATGGTTAACACTAAGTGAGAATGCCGTGTATGGGGTGTACTGTTCTAAAAAGAAGGACCCGTTAGAGCTTAAGAGTCAAGAATTTGCCAAACGGTTTCTCGTTACATAACGACCGAGCAGACTGGTGTCGAGGCGACCGTGTGATGATGACACCTTGAGCGTCTCTCTGTTTGCTTGCTCAAGCCGTTCCAGACGTTCCGGATACGCTTACGTTCCTCCTGCACGATGGAACGCGATCTGAGACGCACCCCCTGGAATAGCTTCGGCAAAACGACAAACTTACTCTCTCGCACACGTAAGCGCCGTGAGAACGGTTACACCTCGACGTGGTGCGACTCGGTGTGTCTCGTTGCCGAGTCGGTTCCCCCCTCCAACAAAAAAAAAAGAGAAAAGAAACAGGGTGCTGCGCTCCTACGTAGGGACGCGGTGTCGTGTGAGGACTTGTACGTTAAAACTTTTTAGCCTGTAAGCGTGGAGAGAGCGCCCGGCTCTCCTTACCATAACGATAATTATTGGTAATGTGAAGATAACGATTATACACACTGCTGCGAGCCTGCTACCGTTTATAACCTATATGGCGGTGTAGCAGCTGAGAGCGGAGGGATAGTGCCTACAGTTTGGCTGTCAATATGTTTGCAGCGGACCATTACAAAGACGATTTGATCCCAGTCAGTAGGTGGAGCTCCGGAGACCGGCGCAGCCTAAGCCACGTATCTAACCTCACCTTACTCTATATATTACCTTAACTCACTACGTGTTTATATACCAACATATATTACGTATACACACACATAAATATATATATTATATATAAATATGTATACCACCTTGAGACTACGTTGAGGCTAACGTAGGGACGTCGATCGACTCCCGGCCGTCGTTGTTTAGCGTGTGACTCCGTCTCGTGGCCCAGGACCAAGTGACGTGGGCGATATATCTGTGGGGAGCCGTCCCAGGGGTCAACTCTATCTTACGATACAGTGAAAGTGCTGAGAGTGAGCGGCTTTGTCTCTTTCGAAGGGGACGATTAGAGAGAGAGGGAGAGAGAGACGGACAAAAGCTAACTCACTTCTAGGCCTGGTTTTTCATTTTCTGGTGAATTGTTGACCAGAGGCTAGTTGCTTCTTGGTCTCTTCTTGGATAATAACGTAGAAAAAGATGGAGAGTAGGCTAACTTCTGGTTAACAGTTAATTAGAAGATGAAAAACGGGGCATTTTCACTATAGTGCAAGGTACAAAATCGACCCCCTGGTTCTGCATCGAGATTTTTTTTTATGACAATCTAGGCGATTTTTGGCGATTGTTTGGTAGATATACTAATGTGTACCGGAGCGTACGCTCGGCGTCATTAATGCTTTTACACCTGAAAATAGCCGTTTACTTCAATATATTTTAATGGAAAAGTTATTAATTTTTAGAAATGGTAAGTCGCCAGTGATAAAAAACATACAATCAAGAATTAAAACGACCTAGGCTGGCAAATCTTTTTATTCAATAAATTAAATTACGACGTTTCGGCCAGTAATACCGGTCCTTTTCAAGTGTATCTTACGCTACCCCTGTCAATTGTTACAGCAAAAGATCTACAAAAATATATGATGACAACAGTAAATTAAAGATTAGAAAAAGATTCATTTTATTAATATTATTACTTTTATCTTTTGACTCTATCTCACGGATAACGATGATTCGCTTGTCTGCGAATTTTTCTCGTTTTCTTATTCGGTTCGTTAATTTATTTTTGTTTCTTTTTACGAGATGACTAATTAATAATTTTAATCTCTTATATTTTGTTGATTTGCAGTATTGTTACTTGAAAAGGACCTGAAGTGAGGTCGAAACGTAACGAATTTAATAAAATTTGCCAGTTGAGTTAACAATAAGCTCACCGTTTTAATTTTTAATTATCACTGGCGACTATATAAGTGACATTTTCCTTTCGTCATTTTATTAACATAAATTTTATATTAATATCTTTAGCGTTTCTTTAGCGGCTTTCTTCAGGTGTACAAGTATTTGTGACGCTGAGTGTACACTCTGGTGTATGTACCAAATGGTGGCGAAAAATCGCTTCCGTTACGACGCGAAAGGTCCGAGCGTCGCGCGTTTCCAGGGCGAAAGCCGAAAATTCTTATCGCGACATCTCCACGGTCCTGTCTTCCCTTCTAGAGTATCTCTAGAAACGATCGCGAAGCCTTCCGTCAGCCTCGGCGTACATAAAGATATAGAATGCACTCCAGGCGTCCTCCGATTTAACGCCGAAAACTGCCCCCTACGCGCGAATCGCGGATCACGTGACCTCCGACGCGGCCTGGACGTTCACTCGGGAGTCCCGAGGGTGGAGCTTTTCTAATCCGCCGGGGGTTCCCCCCGGCGACCGACTGTCCCTTCGGGTTTTCATTCAAACGCGGGACGACGAGCTGCTTACTTGCCGCGTGAGAACGCGCTGAAGGTTCGACGAGAGAAAATAGCGCGCGACAGAATCTTCGTATTTCGCGGTCGTCACGTGACGCGTTCGCGCCGCTCGGCCGGCGGGCGCTTTTGAAAATCGGAGGCGCGCGGGTCGCTATATATCCAAATCAATATGGCCGTGAGATATTGATATGGGTGTACCAATATTTCGTACTGGAATTTCGTGATACTGGCTGACTGCTTTATTCTTTTTACTCTTTTTTACTTTTTCTTTTGTTTCCTTCGTTATTATTCTACGCCCGACGTGTGCTCGCGCGGGTGCGCAAACACTCGCACGCTCGTTCCCGCGACAGTCGCGATATCCTCTCGATATCGCGACGCGGCAATTCGTTCATTAGCGTTGAATAGAATCCGAGATTCATCGGATGGAGTCGAGGTGAGAGGAAGAATTCTGCAAAATTTCCCGCCGCAGTTCCTTGAGGAGACGCTGAAGTGATTCTGCACTTTTTGCACCTTTTGCTCCTGGAACTATCAATTCATGAAAACATTTGTGTAATATACAAATTGCGTGGCTTTTACGTACAGACCGACAGTGTTCCACTAATCGGACTAAATCAGAGAACAGCATGGTATTATTGAAATTAAGTTTGGAAACCTAATAAAAAAAAATCTATTCACTCGAATAACTGACCTATAACTTATTCGGGTTAATAGATCTTTTTTATTAGGTTTCTAAACTTAAGAGGATCCTTCAGCCATCTTTTTTCCGACACAGTCAAATATAGTTTTTGCGCTTGTAAGTTTTTTTATTAGAGATTAGGTAACCTCAATCATTTATAAAAAGCCACATAATTTGTATATATTACACAAATGTTTTCATTAATTGATAGTTCCAGGAGCAAAAGGTGCAAAAAGTGCGGAATCACTCTAGTATCCCTTTAGCATCGAGTCTAATCGTTATTAATTACACCGTTAATTCCGGCCTCTTAATGCTTGCTCGGCCGCTCAACGCGGGTAATTAAGTCTCGTTTGAGTGTCGTTACTTGAATTCTTCCGAAATTATAAATAAAATTGACGCGAAACAGAACGCGCGCGCGCGCGCGCACGACGGGCTTTGCGGGTGTACACGAATGCTGTATCTAAGCTCGGCGTATACTTTTGACGATACTTTTATCCTCTTAGGAAACTTGCTAGCTCACTTTTAACAAATAGTGCATGTGTTGCTTTGAACCGCGCCACAAATTTCCCGAGGTGTCGCGCGAACGTGCCGAACGGAGAGAAAGAGAGAGAACTCGAACGAGGAATCGAGAGTTTGAGAGCTCGAGGGGAACTCCAGGGGAGCTCGAGAGGAAGGACGCGCGAGGGTTTGACCGCGTGGAAATTTGTGGTGGCGGCTGCATGATCGTAGACACGTGATATAGACGTCAGATATAGATATATACACGTATATATGTATATCTTGACTTTCTTCTTCGATAATTTATAGCGTAAAACCTTAGACTGACTCTTCGGTAGCTTGAGCGTAGTCTTTTTTGACTTTGAACGTTGTAGCGAGAGAAGCGGTGAATCACGAAACGTAATCTCACGCCCACCGTCGCGCTGCAACAGCTCGCGGTCTTCGCGCAGCTGAACTTCAAGGGACAAAAAGAAAAAGAGAGAGAGAGTGTGTGGGAGAAAGAGAAAGAGCGGGGGAGAGGGAGAGAAAGAGAGGGAGAGGGAGATAAGGCAGCCGTGCGGCGGGGAAAGTCAAAGTGAAATTGCGTTCCACCCTTTAGCATCCCTCAGTAGGCCTCCGTGCAAGTATTTAAGCTTCGATCTTTCTACGAGTTGTTTAACCTCGTACCGCTCGCATGCTCAAAAACGAACGTTTATCTCCTCGACGGCGGGGAAGGCCCGATCGCGCCCGCGTCCTCGGGGACGGGGCGGGAGGGCGGGGAAGGGGAGAGAGGGGGAAAGAAAGGGAGAACGGAAGGGAGGGCGGGGCGATCGCGCCGCCCGCCGTCGTCGTTTCTATAATCGTGCATGTTTTTTTTCCTTTCGATATGCTGTTTTTAATCGGTTTTCACGATTTCGCTTCTGGACATTTGTCACCACATCCACGCCCGGTCCCTCCCCGGGATCGGCGCCCGGCGCCCCCGTCGGCGAGGGCGATCCCGGGGGAGATCGGGCGGGCCTGGTGTCGTCATTTTTTAATTCGTCGTATTGTTGTGTGATCACCGTAGTTTTCGTAGACAATCTCGACCAGGTCGCCCACCCGGGAAGACTCGCCCGCGATCCGGACGGCGGCGGATAATTTTCCTCATCTTCACATCCGTCGCGAGAGAGAAAAAGTCGTACCTTTTGCGTTTGCTCGCGTTTTTCCCTTTCTTCCGCTTCGTCTGCCGGATCGGTCCGCCGGTCTCTCGATCGCGGCGAGGTCTCCCGGCGTCGCGATCGCTGCATGCGCATGATCGACAGGATTAATCGTGTACACTGTTAATAGTGAGCTTAAGCGAAATAGCATTCGTTGATACGCTGATCGATACGATCGAACGAGAGCGTTCTCGTCGGCGAGGGTCCCGGGGGTTATCGGCAGCGAGAGGACGGACTTTGTGGGAGGCGCGAAGGTTTACCCCCTTGCCGTTCCTCGCATCTGTTTCCCGCGTAGCTCTAAAGAGATGTTCTCTCCTCCGACAATTTTTACCGTACGCTCGAACGGAGGATTTTTCTTTTTTCGTCAAGAAAGAGACATGTCCTTCTCTTTCGCGCGGAGTCACAGATGCCCGGTACCGGCAGATTTTCACGTTGCCTCAACCTCGCGGGTCGGTTTCGCAGAATTCGCACGTCCACGCTCCCGGTGACCCCGCGCTCGTCTCGAGAACACGTCTCGTCGTCCACGGAAGCATTTCGACGAATCGCCGGCCGGCAAAAGAAACACGGATTGTTCCTTGCCGGTCGTTCTACGTGGGCCAGCCGAGCGATAATTTCGAAAAGTAAGAGAAAGAGAGAAAAATAAGAGAAAGAGTAGAGAGAAAGAGAGAGAAAGCTGGCCCTGGGTAACGTCGAACTGCTCATCGGGACCCAATCGAAGAGGTGAAAGAGAAAGAGTGTGCGTGCGTGTGGCAGAGAGAAAGAAAGGAGCGATAGACACTTTTATCATTAAGCCGTACTAGCATTAATATTACAATCGGTTGTGACTGATTCGATGATTGTTTGCACCGTGACACATAGACACTTAAATTGTTATTTCAGAGGCTGCGCGAACGCGCGGGCGGACTGGCGTCTGGTATGCGCGCGGAGATTTCTAAGCCGTCACCTGGTCCAAAATGTTCATCCAGGTCGAACGGAACGAGAAGCGCGTTAACGCGTCGCGTTCGATCTCTCTTTTGTAATTTCAATTTAATTCGACCTGAGAAACGCGAGGAATCGTCGGAACTGCTCCTCCAGCTATTCTCATTGCCTGTGGATTCATCTCTTCACACTTTTGAATCTTTGGATTTTTGGAGGGATCCTGGAACTTTCCCCTCTTTCGTTCTTCCTAAATTCTTCCATTTTCCGATTTTACTCGTCTCTCTCTCTTTTTTTGTTTCATAATTGCAATGAATTTTTCCAAATTATTCCCGGATTTTCCGAAATTCGGCTCGAGCACAGCCGATACTCTAGCGTCCGTAAATATATTCCGAAAGTGAAACGCCGCGTCTGCACCATCTGTCGCGAGTTCTCAAACGGGATCGCGGCAGAGACTTCGCGAAAAGAGCCCGCGCTGGATCGCTCGTCCCCGCCAGTTCGATCAGCCTTTGATCATATCATGAACAATTTGGTATGGGCTGACATTTATGTTAGAGTACAACATGTCTATGCAGCACCAGCGCAATCACGCGTACGACGTCCGGAGGACAGAAAATCCCATCTTTGTTTTTGTCCCATTTCGCCTCTTTAAAGGAACTCTCGGTAGCTTCGTGCAATTCGTGGCTCCAGAATTTTTGTTAGATATCCGCGATTTCGACGGGCATCTTTTGGGAACGTTACTTCCGCTGTTGCTTGGTAAAGTCCAGTGACGCACTTAGAAAAACGAAATTACAGAAAGGACGAAAGTTCCTTCGGCACATTTTCTCGCAGATTTAAATGTGTATATATTTTTTCTCTCCCCGACGTCGAATCTTACTGACGCGGAAGCGTTCAGAAGGATAATTGGCCTCCCGATGGCGGCGGTGCGTGGCGCATGGCGCGGTTTAGATAATTAAAAGGACTAGAGAAAGAAATGGGCGGCCGAACGTCTCGCGGCGTCGCGACGCGGCCGGTCGCCAACGTTACTTACTTACTATTACACACGATTCCGAGGAACTTTTAATCATGTTTAACCTTTATCTCTGGATATTTGCAGAAATTTGTGGTTTGCTGAGTCTTGTCACGACTTTTTGAATGTGTGGAGCCCGATATGCATACATAGTCCACCGCTATATATGCATATATAAATATTATATATATATACATAATCATCGTACCACTATACTCATTGTATAAATTACACATTCACCGCCCAAAAAAAAAGAAAGAAAAGGAAAGAAAAAAAAGAGAAAGAAAGAGACATAGAGACTCGTCTTTTCGGCTCGATTTGTGAAATCGCATCTCGTCATCGCTGGCGATGACGAGGACGGCGATGACGGCGAGGACGATGATAATGATGATAACGATGATGTTAAGACGGACCGCCGTTCTCATATCGCGAGTCCTTCGATTACTTGGGCTTGTTTTAACATCACTTTTTGGAGCAACCGTTATCCTTCTTACCTCCTGGCTTTATTTTAGCTCTGTTTTTTGTCGTTTTTCTGTTTTTTGAACACGGCCGAGCCTCGGGATTTATCGATTTGCATTTAGATTGACCTATTAACCCGTTACGACCAAGAGCTACGTTCTTTAAACGCTGCCGCGGACAAATCCGATGTGAACGGCACAGGTACAGTTGGAAAGCAGATTGGAATATAGCGGGTTAATTAGCGATTGTCGAAATGAAGCAAATGGATAGATTATTGATGTCTTGGGTAATTGCGTGAATCGGCAATCGAACACGAAGACGCTAAAGAGCGACGTCCAAAGGCACCGACGGGTGCCCAAGTTCCAATCCTGATTGCGCAGCTTTCATGCTCATTTTGTATCTACATTAAGCCACAAAGTTAAAATAATTGAGATTAGAGCTCTCGAACAATACAACTTTCGAGCATGAAAATTTAAATTCTGAAAGTGACAAATGTCCATTATTTCATATTCTACACGTACGAGTGCCGACTACTCGAAACTGGAAAGATATATCGATTGAAATAGTATCCCTGCCTTCGCGATACTGTTTGTTGCGAGAATCCAAGACGTCAATAACTTATCTTGAAGATTGCATATATTTGAATGGGTGTTTGCGTTGACGCCTCATTTGCGTGGATCCCTCAGGCTCGACCTCTTAGACGAATGTATTTGGCTTCTACCTTGATTGCGTAACGCTATTTGCTTTGAGATCGGTTTCGTATTAAATCTTAGTTCTAGAAGTAAAGGTTGCTCAATGACGAATCATTGTTCGAGAATAACCGCTTGAATTGTCTGCGTGTGCAGAGCTTTGAGTAACGAAAATTCGGACACTCTCAAGGAACATTCGAATTTATTAGAACTTCAATGAATTCCTTCTATTCGGGAAGATTTATTTATCGAATTATTCTCGAGTACGATTCGTTTTAACTCCTTGATCGTGGATCCATTTGTATGGACGATCTGTTAGCGATCTCGATGGATCCTCGAGTGGGTATGGTCCAAGGTGATCAACCTCTCGAAAACAAAAAGGCATCTTCAGATGTATCTAATGCAATGCAGTGCAATTTGAAATTTCGGTTTGATAAAGACCCTGGCTTGTTTTCCTATAACCAGTTTCTTTAATTTTGTTCGTAATAATAAATATTTGTGCGAGAACACGGTACACATTTGCAGCCAAAAGTTTTGAGCCATTAATTGAAAATGTCTATTACGTGAAGTAAAACAAAAAACTTACGCATTATAATTTAACAGATTTTTTGGCCACTTTATTGTTTCACAATGAAATGAAAAACGATATAAAATGTTTGCAAGTTTTACAAGAGATAATTTTTGCAAGATGAAAAGAATATTATATATTTTTTTGTCAAAGTAGCTACATTTAATTATTTTTTCTTCGCTAAGTAAAATGACTATACAAGTTTTAAGAAAGCATTGAATAGGACGAAAATCAGAATTTTTAAGTAGCATTTCACTGGAATATATTTAAGTTTTATACGTGGTCTCAAACTCTTGGCCGTGTATATTGATTGTATTATAAATACACAAAATCCCCCTCGCATTATTTTTTATTTAAAAAATCGCTCGGGTCACACTGCAGAGCTTTTGATCCTCTTACGGATTTTTATCTTTGAAGAATTTTTCACGTCTTTCGGAAAGAAATTTCTAAGCGCATGTCAAACATAATTGGGAGACGTCAGTCGCGCGTGTCGTGGATAAGTAACTTCAAAGCGAATGAACGCGAAGCGACCGAGCCCTTTGGTGCGACAGGAGTGGTTGGTCACCTTGTAAGTGTTTTTTTTTTTATAAAAAAGCCCGTCTGCGCCCCGGCAGTTTACGCCGGGCGGAATAAAGCTCAAGGAAGGCCCCGGGCGCGACAGGCGGGCGCGATATCTTCGGTTATTTCTTTTCACCATTATTTAGTGACTAACATTGTTTGAGCTTTGAATAGTATCTTGATCAAAACGGTGTATGTCATGTGTAAGATATACTTGGGTGTGGGAGTACCACTCTGGGGATCGGCAGCGCGTTTGGACGATCCTTCTCCGATGCGGCGGGATTATCCTCGGACATCGCTTCTCGAGAATTGTCTCGATTGCTGCGGTATTAACTTGGGGAGAAATATCTCGAATTGACGACGTCGAAGCGGCTGTGCTGAAACGTTTACGCTAATAGCTTGAACTGAAAGTGGTAATCATCTGGCAATCAACTCTCGGAATCGAAACGAATCTCAAAATCACGTCGAGGTGGTTCTCGGTCTCTACCTGTTCAAGTCTTTGTCGAACTCGTGTATCTTGATGAAACGTCTAGAAGTAAAATTGTCAAACTGATCTCGGGCCTTTGGCGACTTGTCCTGGTATGAGTCCTGATCGGAAACTAGCAAGTACCGAAAGTTCGATATTCGTTGAGATCGTTTCGAGCAGCTGGCAGACAGCTGAACAGGCCGAGGACCGAAGTAACAAACGTTCAGCCGAATCTGTTGGCACGACCGCTTCGTAGTCGCTTCGAGTCGAGTCGTTGATCTCGAGGCGCCGAGAATCGAAATTGGTACCGGTCCGGGATCGGCAGCGGAGTGGGAGGATCCAATCGCGCCCCCGATCTCGACGACGCGCTCTTACGCGTGCTCGACGCGGACGGGGGTTTTCACGAGATCCGCCAAGATCGGAAACGCGCGGATTCCATTGTGCTCGGTGCCGCGTCGGGACGCGGGCGGGGTGCGCCGGCACTCGTCCTTTCTGGCAGTGTGGTACCACGTACCATGTTGGCTTAGATCGAACACACACACACACGCCAATTCGCGACCTAGCGAATTCACGTGGAGCTGCATTACGCATTGCCTTATGTTACAGCGTATCCGGTGGCGCCGCATCCACCGACCGGCTTTGTCCCCGCGCCGACGCAACCCCCGACCTACGGTGGTAAGACGAAGACACTTTGCATTTCAACCCTCGAACCCCGCTCATTCCCGCGAAGCAGCCGCTCGCGCGGGTGCCTCGTTTCCCCGCCGATCGACCGAACGCCACGTTTTATGTCGTCTGCGAAAGATGAGGAATAGCGTCCCTGTAATCTGAGCCAATGGGCCAGTTTCTGGCGAAGTTCTGCGAGAGAGAAGGAATGCACACTCGCTACACGGAGAGAGAATTGTCTCCTAAAATTTACCTGGAAATTGCGGGACAACATGTCGCATTTCAATTTTATGAGAAATTGTCGAATCAAACGGCCAAATAGCATTAACCAGCAAGAACTAGGGTGTTCGATAGTGAAACGTAAATTTAATTTTAATATTTTAATCTCATATAAAATTTCATGGACGCGTTTCGGCAACACAGTGCCTTCTTCAGCACACAATAAATTACAATAGGGATAAAAGTTCAAAGTCAGATGACAGATCACATGTTTAAAACAAAAAAGCACAAATAACACGGGAAAAATGCTATTTGCGGACAAAAGTTGTTCATATTAATTAGTAGAATAAGATAGTATAATAAACAATAGGGGGTTCCATTTAAAAAATGGAAAATGACTTTCAAAGGAGTATCCAAGGTCAATGGCACCACTTTATGTCCCCCTTCGAACCAAACAACTTTTATTTGAAACGTTTTTCCGTATCGAGATATTTGCGTGGATCATTTAAAATGAGACACCCTGTATAATAAAATTTAAAAAAAACACAAAATTCTTCGAAACGCCACGTTTCATGTTTACATGATTTTCGGGGTAAATTAAAAAAATCCTCTCCGGGTAGTTCTTTTTCTGTTTCTTCTTCGCTGTCTCTTTCTGTCGGGAGTTGCCAGAAATAAAAGGACCAAGAAGTTGCCGTATATTGACCAGGGGCTCGATTCTTGAATTCACTCGAAGGAGACAACTTATGCGAAAATTCTGCTCTTGCAGAAAAGTTGCAGGTTGATTGGCCATTCACATGTCTTTAACTAATCGACTTTCCACTTTTCTGTGAGAGCAGAATTTTCGCATATACGTTTCTCTTTCGAACGAACGCAAGAATCGAGCCCCAGACTCTGATTAGAGGGACTTTAATGAGGCAGAAGCGACTACCAGCACCGACCAAGCATCGCGAATGAATGGGGTTGTTTTTCAAGTCCGCTCACACCTCGGAGTGATCGGGTCTTTTGCATTACGAGTTTTACCTCCGCCGCGGACGAGAAAACAAAAATCGAATTGTCGAAGCTCGAGACCTGAACGAAGCCGGAGTTTGCGAATGGTTGAAGAGACGGAATCGGGAACTCCCGCGGGGAACCGAATAGAATCCGGAGTAGGTCGGGATTGATAACTTCCTCGATCGCTCTCATTCGTCTCGGAGCGGATAGCGCGGATCCTAACTTATCTCAATAGAGCAACATTCTGTATTCCGCGCGTATGTGTGCCATTGGAAGTGGCGGGGTCGGACGCGGTGCGCTAAGAATAGGGACTTGGTTTGGTTTCTCGATGAATCAATAAGCGAGGAGGTTCGATTGCACCGGAGGGGGTGTTCCCCTTTTCTCTTAATATCTATTCCAAATGTATCACGCGCCAGTTAGCATTGCCGATAACGATTCTGATAACGCTCGCCGACAGTTGCAGGCGCCTCCCCTTACGGAGTATTTCCCAATCAGCCTCAATTGTACGCGACGCAAGGCCCGCCGCCGCCGACGTACGATCAGACTCTTGCGCATCCCATGGTGAGTCTGGTTATTTTTTTAATCGAAGACACTCGTAGGGTGAACCAGTAGGGGATTTACCTGAACGTAAATTTCATCGACAAATTCTCGTTTCAGATGTATCAACCAATGTATGGGCAGGGATACCCTCTGCAATATTATCCACCGGGATATCCCTTGCAATATTATCCGCCGTTAGCTGCGACAACGGCATACTATCCCGCTATGCAACCAGCCCCTGTGAGACCTACCATTATGGTACCTGTGAGTATCGGCGTGTATTTCTCTGGAAAAAAATTGTTCGAGGCTGGGAAAAATCATTAGCGCGTCTCGGCAGCATCCGTAAAGTTTGAAACGATGGCTGTATTACCGCTGCAACCACCAGTAAACCGGCCGCAGTGTGACAGTAGATTGGCAGCGGGTCTGCTCGGATATTGCGACAGACTCGGTGTCATCCGCATTAAACTCGTGTTCCGTCGACAGGATCTGCCAATGTAGAAGATTGTCAGCAGAAACTGGAACAGAATCTGTCATTTTTTAAACATTTAATAAATGATTACCAAAGATTTTCCTTAGTTTCCGCAGTTAATCTGTCAGTATATTCCGTTATATTTCCGCTGGCGTTCCGTCGACAAAATTTGCAGCACACTTTCAAAGTCTGTTTTCGACAAATTTAGTCATCCTAACTAACGATAACTAACGATTACTGATAGAATGTGCTGCCAATCTGCTGGCATACAGCTTGCTTGCTGGAATGTGCGTTATAAAGGCCCGTGTCCATAATGCTAGACCTTGGTCCAAGTTCTAGCCTCGAGAAATGTGTGGCCAAACAACTTGCAGCTTTTATGGAATAGCTGCAAGTTGATTGGCTACACATCTCTTGGAACTTGGACCAAGTTCTAGCCTTAGGACACAGCCATGTCATGTACAGCATATACATTTCGATAGTTAAATTCTTCCATGTCGACTCTCTAAAGGTCAATCGGTGGATTATCACTGAAAACAGTTGTCAGTATACCACTGAATAATTTGGTGAACAGTGTTCGCTGTTTTCAGTGACAATCCACTGATTGACTTTCAGAGAGGAGATAATAGAAAAAAAAGACTGGATGAATTTGTAAAGTTTTTTGAAACTAGAAAATATATCGTCAGGAAATCTTTCTCGATGCTGTGATTATTAACGCTCGTAACGTTTGTTTCGCAGAATGGTTTCGACGGTACCCGGTTCGACGGCATCTCGCAGCCGGTGTTGCCACCGCCGCCACCCGGGGTGGCCGCGAACGCTGCGCAGCTGGCCGCGATGGCCGGCCACAGTGTGGCCCTCTCGCAAAAGAAGGGCTCGTTCCTGGGAGGAGGAACGGAGGGAGGTTATACCTTTTGGTAAACCACCTAAACCACCTTTCGTAACACGTACACACGCAGAAAACACACACCCTCCACACGTACACACACGTCTACATAAACTATCGGAAGCGCCGTGCTGTTGATACGACGAGACGTTGTAGGTAAATTTCCGTTAGAGCTCTGCTTTTCTCACCTCTGCCAGCTTGTGGCAGCTTCATCGATACCTATTAGTATACCGTTTGCGCGGACTGATGACACGCAACATATGGTACATACGCATCACACTTACACACACATTACATATGTGACATATACACATATGTACATACATACAAGACATACATTTTAACATGATACTAAGGCAGCAACCGTGAGAGTTCCCACGCGATTCACATACGGCGATATTTGCGATCGATAGAAGTGATCCAATGATCTCAAGGACACCGCCGCCGTCTTGGTGATCGATCTGCGCATCTCATGTACTGTTGAACTGCAGAAAATCGTCCCGGCCGAAAAAGACTCGGACACGACGACGCTCGTCGAACATCCTCGAAAGCTAATTCCTCGAAAGCTCATCGTTCCGTTGGGGAAGTCGGGAGACAGTGAGAGCGCTACGCGGGTTTTCAAGTAATTCCCAGTCAAGATCCGCGAAAGCTCCGCGAAAGCCCGAGATCCGAGATACCCAGAATCCATGATTAGGACTCTACGAGAATATTGTTCTAGTATCGTGGATCCGGAAATTCCGCGGTCAACATTTCTTAGAATTCAAAAGGCTCAGACTTATCACAGTTTGCTGATTAACGAGGAAAAAGTAGATTCCAAGTTCCATAAATCTGAGTTTTTAAAAATCGAGGCACCCTGAAGCTTCAAAGGGTTGAGAATCTCGAAAGATTCCGACCAACTACTCTATTAAAAAAAAAAAAATTAGCGTTTTCAAGAATCCACCAACTCGGTGACTCTAAATTGCCCATAATGTCTCTAGAATGCTAAGGATCCACAAGCTCTAGTTGGAGAGAACGAAATAGCGACTTACCTATGATCTCGACTTTCCCAGGATTCAAGGTATCCAGGATCTAGCTTTAGTGGCTTATATTAGTTAAGGTTACAGAGATTCGAAAATTTTAGTTAAATTTTTTTTCTTAAATTTAATCACCGATCAAGCATTTCCGACGAAATACAATATTAAGGATCATACATATGTAAGTTCGCCGAGGACTCGTGTTTTCGGCAACCTCGCGAATTCAGGGATCCGCAGTATCGGCGAAAACCCGAAGGCTCGAAGCAAGTCAATGTGCGTTTCCCACGGAGAATAGTTATCGCGAGAATTATTTTACGAAAGACAAACTAGTTAGATCAACGAAAGGCGGACTGATGCCACTGACAAGAAACGACATTGTCGTTGCGCTCATCGAAGCAGAAAGAAGGAAAGGATCAAGAATAAAGCGAGTAGGAGCCCAATGTCGACGATTGTAGAAATTCACGAGACATATTGCGTTGATATTTATATTTAAATTATTGTTATTTAAACGATTTATTTGCAGATCCTCCTTAGAGACAGAATCATCGGTGCGACGTGTTTCAACGATTTATTTTATATCTCGAGAGTGTGAGAACAAGCAAAGGGAATGAAAGAGAGAGAGAGAAAGTAGAATGAGTTTTATATCACGGAAAAGCGTGCAATAAGCGTAAATCTATTGTAACAATAAAAAAAAACGATATTAATTGAAACTGTGAACTTGTTATCACGTTGAATGAGTGAGAAAAACAGAGAGTGTGTAATACGTATGTGCGTGTGAGCGAGTGAGAAAAAGAATGAATAAGTGAGAGAAAAAGTGAACGAGGGTAAACAATGAGTTGAGACAAAAATGTACCACTGCGCGATGATCAATTGTACCAGTTAATAAATGCTATGATCATGCAATTCGTTAATCGGGATTTGTTCTCTTTTGGCGGGCGGTTTCTTTACACGTAAAGAGACTAACTTTGAATATTTCTAATATTCAAGATATGGAGACAAAGATCCGGGCCATTATTCACAAAATAAAACATACAGGGCTAACATCGTACGTTCACTTTATACCAATTGTCGAATTGGTTTATTCATAAAAAACGGTATAAATTATATATAAAGAAATATTCTGTAATTTAATACCTGAAACGTATATCTAACTAAAATTTTCTGCGATTATTATAGCACCTGCAATCCATATATTTTACACTTTCATGTAGGCCTCTTCGCAAGAGCCTTCTTTTGTTGCTCAGTCAACTGTGTGATATTAACGACTTTAGGCATTTGATCTTGAATCAATTCTAGTTTCAACAACGCATCCAGATTTTGTATCTCGTGTTGCGCCTTGCGTAGGCTCTGAAAAATGTGGATTTGAGATACCGCCATTAAGGATTATTATATCGTGAATATCCAGCTTACCAATCGTAGTTCGTTGTTTATTCGAGGATCTGATTTGGCAAGTTTTTTTTTCTGCAAAAATTCCTGCACGGTGTATCCAAGAAATTTTTCCAGAATCTGAAAGGAATTCAACAACTCGTGTTTGTCAAGGATATCGACGATAAGGAACCTTGCTGTTTTTGTAGACAGAATTATCAGAAGAGAGAAAGAGGAGAAGATTCTCACGATTTCTCTTTTCTGACATTATAATAAATGGCTGCGGTAAGAGCTTTAGGAAATCGTTCTATCTCACGTGCCTCAGAATCGAAACAGACTTCTACGTCGGAAGTGTGATCTGTGATCAGTGCCTCTACCGACCAGCATGTACCCTGCTTCGTTAGCGTCGAATGGCTCTTCACTTGACCTCTCACTGTTCTATACATTTTTCCCGTGATGGGTTCGCGTAACACATCACGCAGGACATCGCATTTAGGAGCCGGCGAGGGTTCGGAAAAGTTGAGAGTAGTTTTGGTCTTTGACATTTGCTGTACTGCTTTTGAGGTGCTCGCCTTTGGCAAAAATATGAAGTTAGAATATGAAATAATATGAGATATGAAATAAGAGTGAAGGAAAATATGAAATATAGAGAAAATATAGAGAAAAATATGAAATAAAAGTGGAAGGAAAATATTAATCATTCATAATTATAAAAAAGAAAGAAAATATATAAGAATCATAGTAAAGAATACTATATTATAAATGTTATGTACCATTGATTTCTCGTTCTGTGCAGCTCTCGTGGACGTACATTTCTCCACTTCCATCAAAGTATTACGATTCGTCGTAAGCGTTGCTGGCGGACACGTTTCCATTTTATTCCTTAAAGGATCTCTACCTTGTTGTCTGAGAAATGATATACAACAAAAAATAAATAACAGATACGATACATATGTATATCGTATATATACATCGAAAAAATATTAAAAAAAAGATGCATAGATCGGAAACCTCTGCGGTTCCTTTGTTTTCATTATAACGTCGCAATCATCAAAATCAAAATCGTCATCAGGAAAGTCCGAAACATTTTGGTTCCTAGGAGCGCTCGTGGGAGGCGGTGGTTTGCTGTGGAAATTGCGCGTGGAAGTTGACGCTTCTTCTTCGATTAATATTATGTCATCGTCCACGTCAGTCTCTATACGCGAGGGCCTCGCTGGAGGGTCACTGGGCCTAGAACAATAATTCGATATAGAAATTGGAGCACAATACGCAGCAAAGTTTTCGTTATGAAGATTATGAATTTTAAAGCAAATTCTTCTATAGTTAAAAGTGATGTCAATTATTATTTGAATTAAATTTATATTAAGAATTTTTTTACCTTGATACTCACCAATCATCGAAAGGTTCATAATTTATATCTCTCAGCGTTTCTTCCATAATCTCATTCGTTTCTCTCCCAGCTGTCTGTCTGCGATTGCGCGTACTTCCGGAGCGTTCTTGAACAGCTTCGGTCGCCTGTCCTCGTTCGATCGCTGCCACTGTTTCCAAGTCAACAGCTTCTTCGAAGTCATCGTCGAAAAAATTGTCGTTGTCGTTGGAAGTCGTTGTGGCACTCGGGATATTCTGATTCGTGATCTTGGATGGTCCGTTATCATTGTACGGATCGGGATTTTCCGGTTGTCCTCTGGACGATCAAATAAAACAGAGATCAAGCAACTGGAGTTAAGGCGTCAATAATAATTTAGAGGCTCGAAAACAACTGGACCGAGACTTACAGTGCTCTCGCCAGGACGTTCTCCGGCGCGTTGGGTTTCAACAGAGAATCCACTTCCCCACCAACCTCCTTGTACTTGCCGTCTTCTAGGAGAATAACACCACGTCTGCAGACAATCGGACCAATTATCATCACCTTGTAGCCAGGAAGCAGTGGGCCCTGCAAATAAAAGAGCTCGTGAAGCTATCCTTCTTTAATTTGGACCGCGCAACAATGGATTGGGCCGTACGGTCATTCGTTTCAGTGGCGTATACTCGATGGCGGTGACATCCTGCACGCCGTCGGTGAGGCACAGCTGCATCATTCTTCTACACTTGGGCTGCCACTCCGCCAAGTTCTCTCCCTCGTCCGTCACCTTCAAGTTCTCACCGTCGACCTTGCGAATCTCGCAGAGCTGCTTGTACTTGGAGCTCGCTATGTCATACATCTTGTCTACCTATGCTCATATCGGACGATCTGCGTATACGACATTCGGGTCTCTGAGGTGAGAGGTATGTATTGACCATGGCGCGACGACAACGCAGAGCTCACCTGGAGGATATAAGTGCCGGTCAGTATGGTGCGTGTCTGCTGCGCCAGATTCCTCGGCAGACATCCGTTCGTGTTGTTGATCTCCCGCAGGTCGCTCAGCTGCCACTGGCCCTCCACAAACTCGAAGATACTCCTGTCCGTCACCTGCAGGGACAATCACAGAAGTTAGTCGTCTCGAGTGTAATTATATAAATTACAGGGGGAAAAGAGAACGTTCGAAATACTTTAATATAAATTTAAGTTCAACGTTTAATAAAATTATCTTTCCTCTCTCTGCAATCTTGTTGTCCCATTTTTTGTAATTTGAATCTTTGCACGCAAATATATTTCAAATTGTCGTTCAACTACGTACACAGTGAGAAATGAACTTAAAAAATATCTTTATAATTTAATAATATTCATAACGCGGATATGGACGACAATTCGTTTGGCGAGTTGCGACGAGATTATTTCTCGTTCTCGACGTCTCCTTGTCCGGAGGCGTAAAATAATCACACGACGCGGTGCGCTGCTGCCCCGTTAGTTTTAAGTAACGTAAAACGGGGCACGTAAAACGCCCAGGACGACAATTCGCGACGCACCTCGCGAGGAACCCTGTCTCTGATAAAAAACTCGACGCAGTCTCTCAGCCACGCGTCGTTCATCGTGTAAAACTTGGCGTTCAGTTGGCCCTTTATCCGTCTCAGAAGATTTTCATTCATTTTCGCGCCGTTGCCTGTTACTCGCCTTCCCGATTACGAATTCAGACATCAAACGCACGAACAACACCAGACTAGACACCGGAGTGTTGAAAAAACGAAATGTTATGCGGGATTCTCACTGGACCCGATATCCAACGTCCGATATCTATGTGATTGGTTTTTTCTTTTGGTTTCTTGTTGGATCTAAAAGTATATAAACCAATCATATTGGGTATATCGGACGCATAGACATAGACCGGTATTCATAGTCAGATCTTATATATTCAAGACCGTCTTAAGATCATCTCTAGATACTCCGCAACCAATCAAATGTTCCATACAGCATCTTTAGATAAATTCAAGACGGTCTTGAATATAAGATCCGACTATGAATACCGGCCATAGTATATACTGCGCATTGTGGCTGCAGACGTTTGCACACCTGAGAAAGAGACAACATGCCTACGTAGTAGCTCTCTCTCTGTCTATCTACTTCACTAGACAAAGATAAAGATACACATGAACACCAGCTATCTCTTTCTAAAGTTGGCGCATGTTTTCACGCGAGTAAAGTAGGGAACGCGCAGTCTATATATACTATATCTATGGTCGTACGTCGAATGTCGATTCAGCATAAAGCGGGGAGCACGCATATTCTACTCATGGGGAGCTTTCCAGCAAGCGACATAAGTCGACACAAGTGTCGTTCTGTCTTTATTATTCATTGAATGCGAAGAAAGACAGAACGACATTTGTGTCGACTTGTGTCGCTTGCTGGAAAGCTCCCATACTTGACCGTGATTGGTCAATATCTTAAGGCTTAAGCCTATCACACAATGCCAGGCAACAGGCAATAGGGAATAGAATTTTTAACGCGTTGGATTCGTCGGAAATTTTCTTCCAACATTCAATGTATGTACATACATGAAAAATTAATCACATATTTATATTCTCGATGACTGGTGAAAGATGCTAAAAAGTTATATATACTAATGCAAATATATTAAATAGTAAATAACATGTACTTTTCAATATTTACTAAAAAAACGCAGATTATTAAAGTATTATTTTTAAATACATATCGTCGTTGGAATATATTAATCTCTAATTGCAACGTCCTCGTAGAATAAGTAACTTTTTAGAAATGTTGTATATTATTCGCCTCGTATAGTTTCGTAGTATTATTATAACGTTATTTATTTTTACAAATATATACCATATACACATATATTTGTACATGTAACGACCTTCTATAGCTGTGTTACAAACTTCTACAAAAATTATATCTTAATAAAAGGGAACGAGGCGAATCATTACGCTACGTTGCGTCCTTTTGATTACGGATATTGATACGAATATTTATTTACAAAAATACGTAAAAGTATATCACGTTTTTTTTCACTTCCAATACTGGAGAGAGTATCGAAGTGTAAACGAACCAAGATACTAAATTCGTTCCCGACTGTGCACTTTTCTTCGTTCCAACTGAACTTAATATCGCGATGCGAATATTATTCGTGAAATTTTATCCTAGCTTTAGAATGATTTTCGTCAACTAATGAACGGTAAATATATTTATTTTCTATTTATATAATGTACAACACGAATTCTTATAGCGAAAGCATTCCGCGAGATTGCATTTCACGATTACGTTGATAAAAAATTCAGTGAGTTTCTTGCTGAACCTTGGCTTAAATTCTTTTTACTCTTACACTTCGGAAGCAAGTAACGTTATGTGATTAGAAAGCATCTTGTAAAATCGGTGTATAATCTTGAAATGCAAAATAAATAGTAGGAGACCAATCGTCTATGGACTCGATGCTTCGTAGACAAGTAAGCCAAAGTAGCCTATAACATTCTTACATACCTACTAAAGCCTAAAGCATGTAATGACCTTCTAGCAAATTTCTACAAAAATTATATCTTAATAAAAGAGAGAGACCCACTATCGGGATGCTTTACAACTAAGAACGTTGTATCTCCCTCATTTGCTCGGGCCGTCAACTTATTTCGATCGGTTTAGGGTCGAGATTTGGAAAATACATGTATCACCATTATAATGCTTACCATAGTAACGTTAGGAATATATTACATAATTTATAAAACACCTGACACAATTTACATTAATGCGGCTCGTCATTACTCTCTAAGTCGTGCCAATCTCTGCGTTAGTTCGTCCTGCTCCTGGCTCACCGCCGTCGAAGTGCCAATACTGCCGAGTTGTCCCGACGGAAGTTCCATGTTCAACTCCAATCTGCGCAAAGGTAAAGTCGGCTGATATTAGAAGACCGTTCGGTAATAAGCAAAAGTGTTCGTTTTTCCATTGTAGCTCCAAGTAAAGGCCTGAGCAGAACGGCTGTCTTGTATTCTTAAGGCACGAGACAGTTATTGCGCGTTACTTTAAGACAAAGATGTGAAACATAGAACTTTGCCTTAAGAGTACAAGACGGCCATTCTGCTCGGGCCCTAACGAACGTCCTTGTTAATTTAAATGGCATTTGAAACAGCTCTTTGCATCGTGCGCACACGATGATACTTCATTTTTAGCTGCGGGGAAATACTTTGAGAGAGCCAATCCTTACCCAGCTTCGTCCGCAACTTGCTGCATCAGAGAATCCACGTCGTTCTGAGGTACGTTGGTGGTTGTGGTCTGCGACATGGCGTTCTCCATGTACGAGCTCTGCACGTCCAGATCCTCGAACTGGCTCTCGAATTTGTCCATGAGCCCGGAGATCTTCTCCAGGTTCATCGACTTCATGGCGGCGTCCATCGCCTTGACGACACCGGCCATGGACTGGGTGACCTTGCGAGTCGTCAACGCGGTCTGCACCCTGCTGGCCACCGCGTCCACCCTGGCGCTCATTCTGAGGTAATTCAGGGCCTGGTTCTTCTGCCGAATCGCATTCTCCGCGTGGATACGGGCGCCCTCCATGTTGCCCTTCTGTATCGCCTTCTTGATCTTCGACTTCTCTATCTTCTCCTCCTTCTCGCATTTCTTCGAATTTCTCTCCAGCTCTTTCACCGCGAACTTCAAGTTGAACAGATTCTCTGCGCGTTGCTGTTAAGGAAAACTTGCCTCACGTGCGCTACCAAGGATCTGCAGTCCTTCAGGCAGTGTTCACTGCTAGATCTTGTACCAGGATTGCCTCAAGATTATCTTTAGATACTCCGTGGACCAATGAAATGTTCCATATGCATCTTGAGGCACTCTTTGGTCGATAAAAGCGCCTCTAAAAGTGGCTAACAAGTCTTCTGATTGGTGGCTACAAGCTGATGCCAGAAATTAAATGCGGCCCACGTCCGTATGCTTTCGGCGTCAATCGGCGTCGCACTAAACGTCTCCTCAATCTCGTGTTCGACGAGGGTCTCATTTCTGGCGCCACTGCAGGCCACTTTTAGAGGGGCTTTTATCGATAAAAGAGAGGATTCTGGCAGTCAATTCTGTATCTTACACTACAGTGAAAATGCTAAGCGTAGCCTTCTCTTTCTAGCCATCCCCTTAAGAAAAAGAGCCACAGCCGCTCACTCTCAGCATTTTCACTGTTGCAAGATACAGAACTGACCCCCAGAATATGAGCCATTGTCTTGAGCGCGGCCTCGAGACCCAGTCGGCTCGGTTAGACAAAGCCTCAAGATTGCTCAAGACAATATGGATATGAAATCGAACTACAAATATTATCAATAATCTCTTTACACGAGCGCATCGTCAACAAACATAACAATATATTCGAAAACAATTGGACGCTTTAGAGTCAAAACCCTGCATCTTCGGAGCACGTTTTCACACGTGTAGCGTCTCGAATGTATTTAAAAAAAAAACAGAACCGTGTTCTTACAAGGAGATGTCGGTGCGTGGACAATTGAAGATTCAAAGGATACTTTCCATCTGAGAGACGGACATGGCTGACTGTTCGACCCCCGTTGTGACGAGAGATGCGAGTTCTAACCTCAAAAGCGGGATCAATCTATCCCAGATCTAGCGCCGTTTTTTCCAGCCGACGACGAGCGACGCGAGAACCGGGACGAATCCGTCGCAAACGAACCGCGCGATGTCTACAACGACACGCTTATTCTTCGCGTGAATTTTGCGAGAAAGTGCAAAAGAAAATGCTATCTTCCGATTGACATGACGGACCCGATCGTCGAGAACACAATTACTCATCGGCGCTCATCGCCACAGATGCTGGCTGCACAATTCTTTAGTGCGCGTGACGCAAACTGTAGACTTGCAGTACTGGCAACGAAAACAGCGAAACACAGCCACGGGCGAAAACTCCCTATATTTTCAAAAGTCGGATTAGTTTGTCGATTTCAAGGTTCTGCAACAGGTGGCAGCACCAGGTCTCTTTTTTAATGGTCCATTTGGAGCTTGAAGCATCGTTTATTTTTTTGATCGCGGTCAAACTGCTCCGCTACAAATGCTTCGACGTATTCTTCATTTCCTTTCTTTCGGCAAAGATAAAAGGAGAAGACAAACAATTCGAAAGCATTAGTAGCGGCAGCTTGACCGCAGCTTTTATCAGAGAGAAGGCTTCTCTCTGCTTTTATTACGCCAGGCGCTAAGAGTAGAATGATATCCCAAGAACGTTGCGAGCGCTAAATGTGGAAGTCAATTATCTTACTCATTAAATAAGCACTTTAATAAATTAATTTACTTCTCGCCCTTTTCTAGTGCCTGGAATCAGAGGGAGGTAAAAATTCAGTTCAATCGGGTCAAAGTTGATCCGCGTCGATGGAAGCGAACATTAAATACCGATTGACTTGTCAAACAATTCCCGCGTTATCTCACTGCATGTCGTAAAGTTATCAGTCATTAACGTCGACTCGCGGTAAAAGACGGAAGATCAAATCGGGGACGACCGTAAGTTGGAAAATAAATTCGCTCTTGCCGATCGAGTCAATTGCAGATCGATCAAAGAGCTCGCGTCGGGTCGGTTCAACCGAACGAACGAAGGAATGCAGATACGGTGATATTAAAGATACAAGAAAGGGGCGGGGGGGGGTGGGGGTGGGGAGAAAGGGGAAACACGGGGGAGCCGCCGCCGCCGCGCCAAGGTACGACCGCGCGGTTGGTCCGACGACGAGTCCCCCGTGCGCAGGTCGCGCGCAGGTGCGGCGCGTCGCCGCTGCGGTCGCGTTGCCGCACACACCCGCCGCCATTTGCAAATCGCTCGCCAAGGGCCAGCGCACGGCAGGCACGGCACACGCGGCTGCCGTCCCACGCCGTACGCCGTCCGCCCCTCTCGAGCCTAAAAAGCCCCGCCGTCTCGCACACGGTCACGCGATGCTGCGCTCCGAGCCCGCCGTCCGCTAAACCGTCTGCCGTACGCTGCGTGTAGGTGAGTGGTGTCGCGGCGACGGGAGGGGGGAGCGCGTGCGTGCGTGCGTGCGTGAGTGCGCGCGCGCGCGCGCACACACATACACGTGTGTGCGTGGAGTCGCGCTCGCGTGCGTGCTCGCGTGCACTCGTCCGTGCCTCAGCGCGTGGCTCGCGCGCTGCGTGCGTGTTCGTGTGTCGCGCGCGCTGCGCCGAGCGGCCGAATCGTTACCCCTCCCTTTTATCCCATTTTCTTCAACTCCCCCCCTCGCCATTCTGTCTCTCTCTCGCTCTCTCCGTCCGTCTCCCCGCCGTCTGTCTCTCGCTCGCTCTCTGTTTCTCTTTCTCGTCCCCTAACCTAACCTAACCTGCTTTTGCGGCTCGAGCGCTCGGCAGATTGGATCGCGGCGCACGCGACCGAATCGTCCGCGACCATCGCCAAATGGGATTCCGCATCGGCCGTTCGGAGTAAGCTCACCGGCACTGCCTCGCCGACGGTCAGCGTGCCCAGGAGAAGCCGTCTCGGACCTTCCCCCTCCCCCCCTCCGCCCGCCCTCGTGCCGCCGTTCGCCAGCGCGCAGCCATGGCCTCCTCGAACCGTGGCATCCAGATCGGCTCCGGCTGGTTCCAGACCAAGATCAACCTCAGGCCGCAGCACCGGGGCGTCCACCTCGTCACCGAGGAGATCCTCAGGCAGGTACCTGAGCTCTGCCAGTTTTCCATTGGTCTCTGCCATATCCAGAGTGAGTACCACTAACCTATTGCCAACAGCCTCGAGTAGTCGGCCAGGGGCTCGATCGCGAATCCGTTTCTCTATCGCGAGCTCGTGAGAGGCGAGAGATTTCGCTAACCGAGTTCGACGAGTTTGTCAATGAAAATTTGCACCTTCCACGAGTCCACGTTTGAGGAAAGGATTCGCTGATCGAGTCGCTGATCAAGTACCCCGTGCTTCGCCCTCGGCGCGTAGACTTTAGCGTATACGGTGTCGAGTATTTGTTTTGCGGTGCCAATGCGCGCCGCTCCGGCACGTGCACATTGTACGCGTGTATACCGTAAGAACGCGGCGACTCGGTGATGCACCACCTTGCGAGGCAATAAACGTCAAATCCGTTCCTTTCCATAGTTCTCCATACCTCAGCTAGTTTAGCGTTAAACGAGAGCTGGGATCCAGACGTGAGGGACGACATGGAGATGATGCTTAACAAAATAGTTCCTGAAGGCTTGGAGTACAGGCATAGCTGCGAAGGACCCGACGACATGGTAAGTGCGACGCTTCTCAAGATAGTTTTCCTTCTTGGAGGAAATAATGTACTTACCACGTCGCTCTCTTTACACCGTGGTGAATTCATCTCGCAAAGAACGCCACAAACTTAGTAAATACTCGTGTGCGTTGCAGCGAATGTCATTATCTTCTTCGTTAGATATTTCTCAATAATGGCACGTACGTTTTGGCAGATCGTACCAATCGATTCGACTGTACAAAAACTATCCTATGGGGAGAGGAGACGTTTTGCTTAATAAAAACGCGCGTGTCGCAAGCGCGTTTAAGAGTCAGTCCTGCAAAGAATTTCTTTCATCGGCGCGACTCGCGAATGAGCGAGGCGACTCGAAGGACCCTGGCGAGGCATTGAACATTTCCAATGTTTCACAGCCGGCACACGTAAAGGCCTGTTTCCTGGGCTCGTCGCTGAGCATCCCGATCACCGACGGCAAGCTGGCGCTGGGCACGTGGCAGGGCATTTGGTTGGGCGAGCACCGCGACCACGCCGGCAGCCGCAAGCTGGTGGTAACGCTGACCGGCGTCCTGAGGGACTCGGCGCGCAGCCCCCTCAGCCCGGTCAGCCCTATCGCGTCTACCAGCAGCTAGGACCACTCGCACCCCCGAAGGCGTGGCAAGCGTCAGCCGCGCGCGTCCACCTCGAGCGACTCGAGCTAGCAGCCGCTTTAAGCCCTAGTCAACTTCTAAGAGTACAATCTGTTGAGGAGGAGTGAGCCGGATACCTCGCGGACTTACCCATCGCTCGGGGATAACCACCGTCAGTAGCGATCAACCGCGTCCTCGACGTTTCGCTCGTCTCGACCGTCGAGTGGACAGACCGGGGATCGTGCATCGTTCAAGACTTCTGTGCGCGCGTGTATGTGTGCTTCAGAGTTTCATTTGTGTCTCCGACGTTGTTTCGCATGGGACATTCCTTTTCATTCGTGCGACAATTAAGCCGTTAGGGTTGTTGCAGGAGTTTTCTAGACGGATACCCACGGGACGATAGGCTTTCGCGTCTGGATGTTACCCTTGCAACTCGGGAACCCAAATTTTAAGGTCTTTTTTTCCTTCTTAAACGGTCGCGTTAATTCGGGGGAGGGGGAAAAAAAAAGAAAAGTTTTGCATCTGACATTCGAAGATAACAGAAAGCTGAGATCTTTGAAAGCTCTTTCTGTTCTGAGGATTTTGGGATCCGACAACTCGGAGGCTAGAATCTTGGCAACAACTCAGAATGCTTCTCTCGTTTCTTCATTTCTAGTATCTTTTTCTTTTCTTTTTTTTTTAGCTCGTGTTGATCACGTTGGACATCTACGACATACAATAATAATAATAATAATAGTAATAATAATAATAAAAGAAGACAAATGGATATATATATAAAGAGATAAAGAGAGAAATGAAGAAAAAACTGCCACGGCAGATGCGCGCATTGCACGCGTCTTATGTAAACAAAACGAATTAACGCGAGTATCCAGCACTCTTCCGCCTCGCACTCTTGAAGACGAAAGAAAGCGAAAGGCGGGAAAGACACGCTCTAAGAACGGCAATTGGAGGGGGAAAGGGGGGAAGGAGAGACGGGAAAAGGAAAGAACGAAACATTCCGGTAACGCGTCCAATACTCCGAATTTACGTAGCTTTATTTAGGAGACCCTTTTGTATAAACAAAGTTAACGAATATGAGCAGCCGTGCAGGGACTCGCAGTATCCTTTTTTACACTCTGCTATCTTTGAGCTGTCCAAAAAATAGAGAGAGAGAGAGAGAAAAGGGGGGGGGGTGAGAGGGAAAGAGGATAACAAAAGTGAGAGAGTGTAAGGTACGCGTCGCGGACTTTCTGACTCGCCGCTTAAAAAAAAAAGAAAGACGATTAGGAGCTAAATCAGTCGCTCGTAAACGATGATGTTTCCATCGCATTGGGGGTGTGTATATGTACATAAGGGGAAGGGGCGATGATTCTCTACCTGTGCGCGTTTCCGCTAGAGTTATAAGGTATGTTATATCATGGGCACATAGCGCGATTACATCCTACGTGAATTATAGCGCGTGTACGGAGTGCTGTAAAAGATTTCAGTGTAAAAACACCGCAGGGGGAAAGTTTGCGAAGAACCACGTGACGAAAGTATAAGCGATTTTGCTTCCAAGTAACAACGTTTTCTTTTCGAATTGGAAAAGACACCGCGGATTGGGGGGGGGGGGGATAAATCTCCAGGTTCGAACTCTGGCTAATGTTTTTTCGCAATAAATTCTTTACGGTGATTTTAATTGCGTGTTAGCATATAAAAAAGTTAAATCGTTTATCGATTGAAAGAAGCAATGTGAATTTACTGTTCCAACAAATGGAACGACCGTCTTAAGACCGACAAATAATCGGTGCGTGTTAACTGAATTTGGAAAAAAAGTACGCAAAATTCAGAATTATTATTAGACCACGAAGAACCAGCTCTGACCGAAAACGCATTACAATACATTCGTATTTTTTTTCCTTTCAATACAGCAGCTTGATCAATTATAAGTTCTAATTAAAAAGTCACCTACATCGACGAGTCACGCGATAGTGTTAGCGACCGCCGAAAATTACATATTAATATTGCCGTGCGTCTGATTGACGAACAGACAGCTCTTTAATCGCAGCTCACGATCTGACTGAATTTTGAATTTCTACATAAAAAAATTACTATTCGAAGAGATCGCGTGTTTCCCCCCGTTACTTGGTCCCTCGCACTCTTTTCCGCCGGAGTGTCTTCGTGCTCGAGTCTTATGGCACTCTGTATAATTAAAGCAACGTTACTATATACTCGAAGAATCGATTGCATCAACGTCGATCACCATTTCTTTCATTGTTCGTACTGCAGCAACTGTATTGCCCCGTCGCGAAAAGCTCGACGCTTCATTATTTCCCCAACATCGAAACTTTTGCGAATTGCAAAAAGAAAAAAAAACTTTGATTGTCCTGCGTTACGAGATGCGATTTAGTTTCACCAACGTTAAAAGGCATTCTTCGACGAAGAATCGGCGCGATTAACTTCTCTCGATTATCAAAAAGACCGCTTGTCCCGGGAGGTATCGCAAGTACGTAAGGCATCGTTTTTTAAAGGATCCAGCACTGCGGTGAATTGTAATAAACGTTGGATCGTCGCAAAGATAGCGCGATTTCGGAAGAGTCTTCTTCGAACTTTTGGCCTTTGACCTTCTTGGAAATGTAAAAAGTCCTGGTCCACGCATCTGGCCCTCGGAGCCTCGGGGCTCCAGGCGAGTGCGTGCGATATTTTTTTTTAGCGTTCCCTTTTTCGCGCCGAAGGTCATCGAAAGGGAAAGAGCCGAAGGGGTCTTCGCGACGAACCGACAGAGCTACTTACACTTACACGATGTTATTAACCGATGCTTAACTAATGAGCTTGCTGCAGCGTATCGAACGGGCTGGCAGACAGGCGGAACAAGACGTCGTCGTTGTTTAGTCGTTAATCCTCAACGTACATAGGCGTGCAAGAAGAAAAAAACCGCGTCGTCGTCCATTAACGTGATTTAAATGGACCTATGCTTTAATGTAAAGTACGTCTCTATCTATACAGTTCACATAGCTTAAAGAAAAAAAAAAACATTATCGGAGCTCAAAGTATAATGTAATGTAATGTGATGTAATGGTACACTGTCGAGGTTATCGTACGTGTCGCCCCTTCGAATATACGCAAAACGAGGGCATGGGGGAGACGAGGAGAAGACTCGTACATTGCACAAAGGGAGAAAGGGAGAGAAATAAAAGCGTTATCTTCGGTCCTCTCTGCGGTTCCTAGCGTGACCTCACGAATGCGACCTTAGGTTCAACAGCCAGCCGGTTCGTGGTTTAAGGCAAGGCGATTAGCGATTTTATCTGTACACATTGCATATTGTAAATAATAACGGTTTGCTGAACTCAAAATGAGGATGCGTTCTCGAGATTTTAGGAGGTACGTTATATATTCAGCGCGATCTGTAGGGAGCCACGGACTTCCGGTTCGGACCTATCTTTATTTGATCTCTTGAATAGCGTACTTTTTTTTTAATTCTTACCGTCTGCTTGTTTTTTATTTTAGAAAATTATGTCCCGAAATACTCGCGGCGATCTCTCGAGTTTTTTTAAATTTGTGACACTGCCGACTTTATTTCTCAGAATTTCAGATCTCCTAGCTAGTAGCTCAGTCGGAGCACATATTTTTAATTTTCTTTGCGCGCAAAACTCTTGGGGAATCTCTGGAAATTTTGTTTCCCGGAGTCTTTCGTTCTTCAGGCTTTTTAAACCAAAAAGAATCGGAGATCGGGCTCCTTCTGACGCGTTGTGAAAGCTATAAGAATCACGATCACTTGTTGTATTTGCCAAAAAAGAAAAAAAAAGAAAATGGATTTACCAGTGAAAGAGATAAAAATTCATTTCCAAGCGTAGGCTTCCGCTTGCGCGCAGTGAACGCGGATCTAATTATTGCAACGCATGCAGGCTCCGTCAGTCCCTCTTTGCACTCTTGCGTAAGTAAAAATATTTTCTACCGTTTAGAAATAAAGAACTGTTACAACACAAAAGTCTATAGCACATTGATATACATACGACATTACCAATTATTAAGTACTGCCGTTTTACGTATGAAATGTTAAGGTAAAGCCATCCTAAAGTAAATACGTCACAAGATATTTCATATTTTATAGCAGAATTAGGATAAAATATGATGAAATATCTGCTAAAATATTCACTTTTCGATGATCTTACGTTAATATTTTTATATGCGGAATAACACCTTTTCTCCTCAATGTCCTGCAATATTTTTTATCCTTTTCTGATACACACGAGTGTCAGAAGTGTTCGCGCGGGAATCAATTCGACCCACATTTTAATTTATTGATAATTAGTTGTAAATTGAGATATGCTTTAACCAAAATAGTAATTTTTAAGTCTTAGAAATGTTCATGCGTCCGTTTGAAATCCAGGCCAGCAATTATTCGGTTATTATTAAATAATAAAATATATTAATATGATTATATATATTTAATTAGATTAGAACGGCAAAATTAATGATAATTTTATATAACTCATCCGGTAAAAAATTTTTCATATAAAAACAAATATATATATGTGTAATTATATTAATTATATATAAAATATGTTAACCTGTATGTTCTTTTTCTCTTCTACAATCTCTGCTCAAATATTCAGGAAAAATAATTGAGAAGAAGAATTAAAAAATAATTAAAAGGATAATTTTTGCATCGTTTTTTTGTAAAACGAAGTTTGAGGAAATGAAAAGAAACTGCCCATACGAGTACAATCATACAAATAGAATAATCACGTGTAAAATATGATTATGACTATGCAGAATACTGTATAATCTAATTGCAATTATATTTTTCGTACGAAAAGCACAAGGAAAAATTATTTCTTTAATTAATTTTCCCTTCTTATTTCTGTCTGTATATAACGAGCCGAGATTATGCAAGAGGAAGAAAATAGATATATTTTATGTACAATTATATATATTTTTATATTTTTTATATGAGAAATTTTTGTCGTGTACCAAAATGCTTTACTTTCTTCCGTATATGTTTTCAGGTTCTTTGTTGTTTTGTAATGGTTTATTTATCTTTTATAAGTAATAGCAATAGAGAAACATTCCAGTAAAATTTGTAGTATTCTACTAACGCACTATCCCGCTTCCTTTTTCTTCCGCGCGGAGATTAAATGTTGTTATGGTAAATTGAAAGTTAATTATGTCATATCGTCCATCTAATACTAATAGTTAGACTGCGGATGTTATATAAATTATTTGATGTATAAATTTTATTTTAAAGTCATCTCAGAAAGAAGCAAGCTGAAATATGAATTCCCCTTATCTTCTTTAGCGATGCATATTTACATCCGCAGTCCGATGATTACATTCTTACATATATGTAACATTATACTTTAATGAATATTTCGTTATATACTGGGTTTTTTAAAAACATTTTTGAACGGAGGTAGAGATAAAAGAGATAACCCAAGCAGAAGAAAAAGTCATGAGGACATCAAAGTGGCGTTAAAGTGACTTTTAATAATAATTCTAGTGGCATTTTAATGCCACTTTGACGTTGTTATGACTTGTTGTTCCGCCTGGATAAGAACATAAGTATATTTGAAAATTTACCAAGGTGTATTACAGTTCGATGATTATAACGGTGATGATGAGATGTCGATGTGGCAGTGGCGGATGTTAATTCGCTAAGGATGAAGATGGCTATCTTCCACTGACTGAGATTAACCCAAGCCAGCCTGATGATCTGAGAGTCAAATGGCTTACTTTACAGTCACAACTAAAACAAACAGTTTGCGCAGTAAAGAAATTGATACAGTGAGCAAGTGCGAGGCGAAATAGTTAAACTTGAGTTCGGACGATCGTAAAGGAAACAAAGAAGAAATTACAAGGAAACTTTCAGTGTTTGCGATATTTTATATTTTCTCAGCAGATAAACGTAATTGATCAAAATGCTTCGAGAATCTATTGACTCAAGGTTCTCTTGGAGTATACATTGGCCTAACCCGTCAAGTCCGGTGGAGGCTTACCGTCTGGCTTCCTGGTCTCGGATTCGATCGGGTTGTTATAGTTGTCCGGTAGTGGATGGGGACCCGGATGAGTCAGATCCAACGCCTTCTCCTGAACCACCTTGAAAGAAGCTTTGATGTTATCCAACGCGTTCCCTAATCCTGTCTTAATCTGATTGAATTCCTGCGTGACCAAGGACAGGCGGCCGAGCAAGTAGTTCAAGTTCTCATCCACCTCCGTCATGCGTTTCGTTATCTCGCCTACCTGCAGAAATCCAAATATTTAACCGTTAGTTTTGCGATCTATGGACCGTATTTAAGCGAATAAATTCAGGACGATGTGCGTTGGGTGTTATTCAGAATGAGTACCAAATTATCCGCGATTATCTAGCCGTTAAATCTGCCACGAAAGTAGATACTGCCTGATGCATATTTAGGTAATGCCCAGATAATGTATCGATGCGATGATTTATGCAACAGTCCACCTAACTTATTTGAGAGGCTTTATGTGAATTCTCATTATTTAAAATGTATGTTTTATCACGCATTTTATTACTTTATTCTCCATTCCACCCATGGTAGATGTCGTGCCATTAACATAGGCTTCATTCTGTTGATGCAGCTTATCTAGAGCTCGAGCGCTTTCCGTCATTTGCTGGTACATCACATTGATCTGCCGCCAGACCTGCAACGAAGGTAGTAACAACAAATCCGGGCAGCGGCCAGATGAGTCAGCAAGTAACAGATCTTTACTTTGTCCATTTCTTGTTCCATCTTGCTGGTAAGGTTCGCCAAGGCACCATTCTGGTTATCCATGATATCATTTGAGATTCCGTCGAACCTCTGGCTCAGAGTGCTGTTAATGTTGACACCCTGGGTCTTCACCAACTCGCCCACTTCCAGCAGGATCTGATGTACGCCGTACTCCACTCTCTTCTTCGTATCTAGCACATGATCGGCCATAGAAATCATCACGGACTGGCCCTTTTCCAGATTCTGTAGCTCCTGGTTAACGCGTTCTGCATTGTTAGCCAGGTCCATTCTGTTAAAAAGGCTCAAAAATGAAAGGAAATGACTACGCGATACATAGGCTTATATTTAACGCCAAATATGATCCTCCGATTCCTTGTATAATTTATCGGTATCCAATAAAAGATGACCATGCTTAGCGTTTATCTTTCCACCCAGACGACAATCGGGATTTACCGTAACGCCGCCACCGAATCCTTCGTTTCTTCTTTGCCCTCCGTTATTTTATCCCCGATATTATCGATGCCCCGTGTAACGATATCGTTCAACGCATGCTTAGCCTCCTGTAACATAGCTTGCGTCTCGTTGTGGAGCGCCTGCATCTCGTTTATCCTACAACGTAAAGCGACAATTAGTATCGAAGTGTGATGGATGTTACATGTCCTCATATTCTCGCGGAGAACGTTAAAACTGATATCAAGAGAGTCGTTACCTAGGTAATTCTCGTAATCTGTCAGAAGTGCCCTCCAGCAGCTCTTGCACTTGCACCAATGTCCTGACGTGATCCTCAAAAGCTGGCGACAGATCCAATTGCCGCTCCGACGGTCTCTCCTGCACGCTCTGAGTCACCTGTCTTAACTTTTCCAGCGATTTCTCGAGGTCCCCGATCTTCGTGGATACATATTGCATCTACGGCACAAAATAGGTTTATATCGAGCTGAAAAATTCGTATAAAATTTCACGCAATAACAATTGCTAGGCGCAAAGATCCAACCCGAGCGCGTAAGTCTCATTTCTATCTACTTGGATTGAGAGCGTTTAAAACACTTTGTGTTTACGCGAGGAAGATACATGTATATTATACTTTTATCATAAATGAGTCACCTCCGAGAAGATTGTGTGCGTCTTCTCCATCAGCGTTGCTGACTCTTTATTCATCTTTGCCGCGTTATTATGCAGACCCTCCCTGAATCTCGCAACCTCTTCCATCAAATTACTCTCCATGCCACTCAGCTTGGTGAGAACGTCGGGAAGATTGCCGTTCGGGGCAGACGTCACCTCGGCGCGATTGTTTAGCTCCGCTATCTTACTGTCGATATTCGTCAGCCAACCTTCCAGGCGATTCTCCAGATCCTCCAGACTGTCCACGGTCTTTTGCATCTGTATGCGCTCCCTCTCATCTTTCTGCGCGAAGAAACATCAAGAAACATTAATCGCTCGTGCATTACTGAGCGGAATACGAGGTGATCACCTGTGCGATCAAATGTTCTATTCCCGCGACTCTCTCATCCATCTTGGTCAATTGCAGCTTCAGGCCATCCACGACGGACACGCGCTTCGTCAGGATAGCTATTGTCTTTTTCAGTTGTTCGCCCAGCTGCCGTTCTCTCGCCTCGTGCCTCTCCAGCTTCTCCGTATTCTCTCGCATCATATGTACCAAGCTCAACATAGCATCCTTGATGTCTTCGTGTCTGTAAAGATTGATTCGAGCATTTTGTAGGACAGAATAAATATGGTATCGTTGAAAATGAGATTATATTTGAAGAAAAAAGTGCCACAAGTGAAGATACGCAAAGTCGACAAAAAGTGAAATAAAAGTTATTAAAAAATTATGAATGTATTTCAAGATGAATCATAATTTTCCTTATAGAAAAGTTGCAGTATGTTGTTCAAAAGTGATAAAAACATTATGAAATTTACCGAATTTACCTAAAATCTGTGTTAATGTTTACTGAAGATAATTTTTCGAATTTGAATTTTTACCGATATATCGATATATGCATATGAAATGAAAGCGAGGGTCCAATCGAGAGATTTTCGGGGGCACTTGAGCAAAATTTTATTATATACTTTCGGTAAAATATTTCTACTAAGGACGTTCGAAGTATTAAACTATGTGGACCGAATACATACGTTATTTCCCGGGTGTAGCTGACGTCGATGCAAGAGCAACACAAGAGCGTTAGAAGAACAGGCAGTTTCATTGTCTTGTTAGAGCTGTTTCTCCAGGGAACCGATTTAATCTACCGCGTTGTTTTGCTCGGCGGCGTCAGGTCGAGCGGAGTGGTCCCTTTGACGCGACGGGCACTTATCAAATCTGATCGAGAAGATAATACGAAAGCAATGAACCTACAACGTATGTAACGATGGCGAACAAAGGTGCCCACTATTTCTGTAAGCTACACACAGTGGTCTTCTTTCCTGCTTCTAATTGAATGCACTGCCATCGAGATAAGAAAAACGCAGGTCATGCACGATGACCCCGAGAGACCGTAGAGAGAGAAATCATCAGTCACACTAAATTATACTCAATCGTCAGTGGTAGCTACATAGAGCGCAGCATTCTGTGTTCCAACGTACGTCAAGGAATTATTTCACTCATTTACTTCATTGTCTGTTAATACAATTAGTTACGAACGATAGATATGTATTTTACGTTACTTAAATATGACTCTCAGCTTTAAATAATGTATAATATAATATTTCCTGTATATATGTATCTTTAAAATCTTCTATTTTAAACTGTTTCACGCATTAATTTCGTCAAATAAGAATTAATTAAAGTGCGTGACATCCATGGAGAGTTTTATACTTTCAATATTTACAAATTCCCTCCCTCTTTAAAATACTATAATTTTACATCGATTATGTTTCACGTATCAATCTCTGAATTTATACATGTACAGCCTTGACCAAAAGTACTTGCCACCCCTTCAATTCTCAGCAATGTAACTTCTTTCGACTCTAATCAAGTATTTTGTATATTGTTACGTATCGGCACGCTAAACTGAATAATCTAAACAAAGCGTCATATCATAAACACGCAAGGGCAAGTCGCGAAACGTTTACAGCAGTAAACTCGATTTTACACCATAAATCGTTATAGAAAAACTGAAAGCCAACAACTGGCATTGCTTATTTAACCCGAATGTAAAATAATTTGAAGTTATTGAGGTTTCACATAGATGGCAAATGTTTTTGGCCAAGGCTGTATTAATGTTGCTTCAATAGAAGAAAAAAAAGTGATATTTCTCGAGTTATGATGCAGCTCTTAGTCTTTTCTGTACATGGAAGTGACGAAGGGATGAAATGTATGCAGGCTATTTATAGACGCACGGATTCCTCCAAGAACAGCCATATGGCCCGTCATATGCGTCAAGCTGTGTGTTTCAAGTGCAACACATTTGTTTTGCCCTTTATATAAATGCACCAGCAAATGCGAGGCAAGTCAGTCGCGCTCCATTCAGAGAATTCATCAACTCCTTCGCTGTATCAAAGCATCTGAACTTTACTTTAATCTCTGTCTTGCGCAATGTCAATTTTTATCAAATAAACGTAACTCGACATATAAATGAGAAACTGAGAGTCCCTCCGTTATTTTTTTTACAGAAGAATTTCAATGTAAAAAATGCCATTGTTACATTCTTATACATCTTTTAATTGTTTTTTTTTCAAAATTAATTGAACCGGATCCCACTTTTTTTCTACATATATGTATATATATGTTTTATATATATAATTACGTATGAAAAGCTTTGTGACGAGCAGGCAAAGGTTATTTTGCGTGCATAGAGAACGCAACGTAATGCGCGTAAGCAGAACAGATCTGAGTAAGATATATAAGAACTGCTCATAAACCCAGTTCTATTTTCGCGCGTAATTTTTGTGTGCAACTTCTGCTAAGACGGCGCGTTCTGACAATTGGAAATAAATCGTACTGCTCGATTATCGAGAGAAAAAAAAAGGAAACGAAATTCAAGAAAAGCCTCGCGAGGCGGTGAGACAACGAGATGCGATTTTTGTAATTCGATCGATTTGGAGGCAACGCTTTCGCGAATCGATAGCGTAAAATTCCGGTACTGCCGACAGCGAGTTGCGAAAGCCTCCAACAACGGGATGCGGTATAAAAGGAGATGCGTGACGTAAATTTTTAGCGCGCGCGTGCGAAGGGAAAAGTGCGATCAAGCGAAAGAAAAGAGGAGAAAAGGAAGATCGAGAAAGAGAAAGAGCGAGAGACAGCGAGAGCGCACGGACGAGGAAGAGAGAAACGCACGCTGCAAAACGCGCTGCAAAACGCGATGTAGCAGTCGGGTGAAGAAGTTCATTCGCTCCTTCCTCGTTCGTCCACCGTGTAAGAACCGCGTTGAGAGAGAAGCGAGCCGTCCGCCCGAGCAAATACCGACGACGATCACCATTGATCTCGAGGACGGCGCTCGATTTTCGTTTATCGGCGCGAAAAGCGCGGACACGAGCGGGTCAGAACGCGCCTCTTCCCCCCCCGGGCCGCCACTACTCACTCTCAGCTTCGTGCTCTCTGTATTCCCCGAGAACAGAAATGCGCGGCAGAAACGCGGCCGAATTGCAGTCGAACTGTTTTCCGACGCGACTAGCGGAGAACTGCGAGGAGCCGCATCTCGCGCTGCCATTATGTAGATATAAGGATTTTTTAAAATCCACCTAGAGTCGAATTACTCGCGCGGCGTTACCAACCTCCGTATTCGTACAGTTCGGCCATAGTACAACCATAATATAACTAGTAAGTCCACGCACTGTCGGCACTTTTGACCTTTGCGGTCCTTTGCATAATTAATGAGCATAAATAGACTAAGTGCATAGGTAACTTTGATACATCATGACTCCGCCCAAAAAATCGTAGACTTCAATTTTTTTTAATTTGTAGGGGAAAGTTCGTATTTTACAATGGCTCTTGTAGAATTTATGACTAAAATTTATCGCACCCCGTGCAGCGCGTCAAACTATGAAAAGTTTTGCAGACAAAATACGTCCTTACTTTCAAAGAAATCACGATAAGGGGAACGGAGATATTCAAAATCTGAAAAAAATCTCTTAAATGTAGACATTTCTAGCTTTAAAATTAAAAAAATTCTTTAAATGCGATAAGTTTTCGCGAAGTTACGATTATTTGAAGTTGAGTGAAATTTTGGTACAAATTTTTGTTGCGTCAATTTTGTTGCGCAGTGTGTTTATCATAAACATAACGCGTTGTCCAGATCTGTATAGTCGTTATCGACTTTCCTTATGGTGAAGTATTATTAATTTTAATTTCGTCCCCAACTTACGAGTCACTTTCTTCCCTATACGAATTGAAATAAATCAACCTCTAAGTTTAATTTTAAATTAAAACCATTTATAAGTCTGTCGTGACTTTTATAATTTCCTTACAAAGAAGGTTATCATTTAATTTCCTCGTTTTCGTGCATACGAAAACTTTTGGGAATAATGAATTGCGAAATTTGTTAAGATTAATACTTTCACATAATGTTTACATATATGTTATATATAATGTTTATTCTTTTACATATATAATGTTTATGTATGCATTTTAGAAATAAATGTTTCAGACAAAAGTTATATGGTTTTAAGGGGGACATAAGATGGTATCATTGGTTTGACCTCGGATCGTCGTTTGAAGTTTACACGAAGGTAATTTTGAATGTTTTAAATGAAAACCCGCATTTTTTTTATATCATCTCTTTCTGTTAATTAATTGGAATAACTTTTGTCTAAAACATTTTTATTTGTTTAATATATTTTTAAATGTTCAAAGAAAACTTGGCAACTTTTTCAATAGACATCATACGATATTTCGATAACTGTTTATTTTTTACTTGATTTGGTGTCAAGAATATGCTGCTGCAATAGTACTCCAACTTTGGTAAACATTTGTGTACACATCTCCTTAGAGTTTTCATGTATATACAAATGTATATCGGCAGATAGAGTTTAATTATACGGATGATATCGAATTTATGTACAATATCTGAGCAAATTCGCTGCGAATTCATTGTCATACTTGGTTATAAAGTTTTCACCTGTAGTAAATATTTAAGTGCGAATAATACATGTAGATATGTGCCACTTAGTCATAAACAATACTTTATATGCAGAATTATCGATTTAATACGTAGCTTGACAATAGAAGTGCATCCTTTGCTCTTTCGACCTTAGACAGAATATTTTTTACATAAATCACATTATACGATGTAGATTTTATATATATGAGAACAAATCATAGTGTCAATCTATATTCGGACGTACGATTTCAGTGAAGTAATATTGCACTGCAAACAGAATACGACAGTTTTCTTTAGTAGAGTACCGAGGACTTTTTATCTTCATAAAATTGTTGCTGCAAGACAATTACTCTTTATTAATGATGAGCAAAATCGGCATCAATCCAGCGGGAGAGGCTCAATTGCGCACAGTACAATTGAACACGATGCAATTGCACACAGTGCTATTGGGCATATAATGTTGCGCACAGTTCTTTTGCGCACCGTTCATTTGGACACAGTTCTTGTGCGCACCGTACAATTGGACACCGTTGCTTTTGGACACAGGTTTTCGAAATATAATTTAAAACACACAGACACACGCGTATGCATGTAGAGCCCTGTTTGGAAATTTTGCTAATTTATAAATAATAAATCTTTCTAAATCAGCGATTGTTCAATTGGACAGTTCTTTTACGCACAGTTCAGTGTCGCACAGTTCAGTGTCGCAAAGTTCAGTGTCGCACAGTTCAGTGTCGCACAGTTCAGTGTCGCACAGTTCAGTGTCGCACAGTTCAGTGTCGCACAGTTCAGTGTCGCACAGTTCAGTGTCGCACAGTTCAGTGTCGCACAGTTCAGTTTCGCACATTTCAGTTTCACACATTTCAGTTTCGCACATTTGGACACACAAGCTCTCGTCTCGTGCCTCTCCAGCTTCTCCAGCTTCTCCGTATTCTCTTGCATCATATGTACCAAGCTCAACATAGCATCCTTGATGTCTTCGTGTCAGTAAAGATTGATTCGAGCATTTTGTAGGACAGAATAAATATGGTATCATTGAAAATGAAATTATATTTAAAGAAAGAAGTGCCACAAGTGAAGGTACGCGAAGTCGATAAAAAGTGAAATAAAAGTTATTGAAAAATTATGAATGTATTTCAAGACGAATCATAATTTTCCTTATAGAATAGTTGAAGTATGTTGTTGAAAAATGATAAAAACATTATGGAATTTACCGACTTTACCTAAAATCTGTGTTAATGTTTACTGAAGATGATTTTTTGAATTTGAATGTTTATCGATATATCGATATATACATATGAAATGAAACCGAGGTCCAATCTAGAGATTTTTGGGTGCACTTGAGCAAAATTGTATTATATATTTTCGGTAAAATATTTCTACTAAGGACGTTCGAAGTATCAAACTAGTGGACCGAATACATACGTTATTTCCCGGGTGTAGCTGACGTCGATGCAAGAGCAACACAAGAGCGTTAGAAGAAGAGGCAGTTTCATTGTCTTGTTAGAGCTGTTTCTCCAGGGAACCGATTTAATCTACCGCGTTGTTTTGCTCGGCGGCGTCAGATCGAGCGGAGTGGTCCCTTTGACGCGACGGGCACTTATCAAATCTGATCGAGAAGATAATACGAAACCAATGAACTTACGACGTACGTAACGATGACGAACAAAGGTACCACTATTTTTGTAAGCTACACAGTGGTCTTCTTTCCTGCATTATGCGATGTGTGTATGTATACGTACTCATCATAGCCATACTACCATACGTACAAGTTTTCTCTCATTGGTGCCCAGAACAATGTCGGATGCGCAGAAGGGATCGACGCAAAACGAAACAAATGACGGAGTGGATCTGCTAGTTATACTATATTTCTATACCACTTCCGAAAATTACAATATTTTTTTAATATCACATACCGAATGGGAACACTTAACAACTGTCTCTCCGGCATATAATTAATGGAATATATTTTAGTAATCACAATGAACCATAATGACAATGAATGTCGAGACACCGTAGTACAATACAGCCATACCCGGATAGCACACAAATTAAGTTCTATGAATATTCTTCTGGAGTGCAAATATTCTCAATTTCAGAATATTCTAATCGAATATTCTATAAATGTACAATATATATGTATATACTGCGCAACAAAATTAACGCAAAAAAATTTGTACCAAAATTTCATTCAACTTCAAATAATCGTAACTTCTCGAAAACTTATCGCATTTGAACATTTTTTTTATTTTAAAGCTAGAAATCTTCACCTTCAAAAGAATTTTTAAGATTTGGAATATCTCTGTTCCCCTTATCGTGATCTCTTGAAAAGTAAGGACGTGTTTTGTCTGCAAAACTTTTCATAGTTTGACGCGCTGTACGAGGTGCGATGAATTTTATTCGCAAATTCTATAAGAACCATTGTAAAATATGAATTTTTCCGTACAAATTAAAAAAATTGAAGTCTACGATTTTTTTGGCTTTGTGCTGTATCAAAGTTACCTATGCATTTAGTCTATTTATGCTCATTAATTATGCAAATAATAATAAATAATTTAATTACGCAGTGTATTTATCATAAACATAACGTGCTGTCTAGATATTATGTGAAAGTATTAATCTTAAGAAATGACGCAATTCATCATTCCCAAAAGTTTTCGTATGCACGAAAAACAGGAAATTAAATGCTAACCTTCTTTGTAAGGAAATTATAAAAGTCACGACAGACTTATAAATGGTTTTAATTTAAAATTAAACTTAGTGGTTGATTCATTTCAATTCGTATAGGCAAGAAAGTAACTCGTAAGTTTCGGGGACCAAATTAAAATTTATAATACTTCACCAAAAGGAAAATCAATAACTATGTATGTATAATGTATAAACATTATGTGAAAGTATTAATCTTAAGAAATGATGCAATTCATCATTCCCAAAAGTTTTCGTATGCACGAAAAACAGGAAATTAAATGCTAACCTTCTTTGTAAGGAAATTATAAAAGTCACGACAGACTTATAAATGGTTTTAATTTAAAATTAAACTTAGTGGTTGATTCATTTCAATTCGTATAGGCAAGAAAGTGACTCGTAAGTTTTGGAGACCAAATTAAAATTTACTACTTCACCATAATACTTCACTATAATACTTCACCAAAAGGAAAATCAATAATAACTATGTAATATACACGGTGAGGAAAAAGTATAGAAACCCCTAAATTTTTCAAGAACTATGCATTTTGGAAACAAATGTGTAAGACAAAAGTTATGTGGTTTTAAGGAGGACATAAGATGATATCATTGGTTTGACCTCGGATAGTTGTTTGAAGGTTACACGAAGGTGATTTTGAATTTTTTAAATAAAAACCTGCAGTTTTTATTATATTATATTTTTCTATTAATTAATTGGAATAACTTTTGTCTGAAACATTTTTATTTGTCAAATAGTTTTTGAAAGAAAACTTGGCAATTTTTTCAATAGTCATTATACGATATCTCGATAACTGTTTATTTTTTACTTGATTTGGTGTCAAGAATATGTTGTTGCAATATAGTACTCCTACTTTGGTAAACATTTGTGTACACATCTCCTTGGAGTTTTCGTGTATATATGTACAAATGTACATCGGCAGATAGAGTTTAATTATACGGATGATATCGAATTTATGTACAATATCTGAGCAAATTCGCTGCGAATTCATTGTCATACTTGGTTATAAAGTTTTCACCTGTAGTAAATATTTAAGTGCGAATTATACATATAGGTATGTGCCACTTAGTCAAAAACGTTACTTTATATGCAGAATTATCGATTCAATACGTAGCTTGACAATAGAAGTGCATCCTTTGCTCTTTCGACCTTAGACAGAATATTTTTTACATAAATCACATTATACGATGTAGATTTTATATATATGAGAACAAATCATAGTGTCAGTCTATATTCGGACGTACGATTTCAGTAAAGTAATATTGCACTGCAAACAAAATACGACAGTTCTCTTTAGTAGAGTACCGAGGACTTTTTATCTTCATAAAATTGTTGCTGCAAGACAATTACTCTTTGTTAATGATGAGCAAAATCGGCATCAATCCAGCCAACTCGATCCCGGCGTTTTATACCGGACAAAGTATATTCCTGACGGGTGCTACAGGATTCGTGGGCAAAGTGTTTATCGAGAAAGTATTGCGATCATGTCCCGACATTCGTGAGATATTTCTTTTAATGAGACCGTCGAATAAAATAAGCACGGTCGAAAAATTCGAAAAGATGCTGCGCTCACCGGTAAGTCTCGTTTACTATCAACTTTTCTTATTCCAATGAAATTAGTCGTTTTAAAAACATAACGGAAAATAAAATTTAACTATTTTGAATATATAATTGTGTATAATCTCATGTCTTCTCCCTTACTATTATTATTTAAGTTGTCTTAAATAAAATATATGTATATTTCTACATTTATCACAAGTAAAACTTCTAACTGAAGCTGAGTTAAGGTTTCTTCCATTTATTGTATCGCAATCAGTTTTATTTTCTAAAAGCTTATTAAATCTATCAAGATTTATATCTACAGCACAGTCAGAAATTGCAAATACGTCAAAATAAGGAATCGTAGCGAATGCGATCGGAATATTATCAAATTTTCCCATACAGCACGCATATCTTTAGACATACATATCTAAAAGACGAATATTGTCTTGATCCAGTTGTTCGACAGACTTCGAGATGAACGACCTTCTAGCTTCAACAAGCTAATTCCCATCCCTGGCGACTCGAGCGAGGAAGGATTGGGCTTGTCGCCTGCAGACAGGCAAACACTGATCGAAAGAGTGACTATAGTAGTCCATAATTCCGCAAGTGTTAAATTTAATGATACTATCAAGTACGCTATCTTCGTTAATACTAGGTCCACGAGGGATATTTGTGTGTTAGCTGAAAGTATGAACAATCTGAAGGTACGTTAATAAAGTTAATCTCTTTTTGGTTATATGAATGGAACACAATGTTTTTAACTAATTTGCATATAATAAATACAAAAAGGACAATAACAAAATTTATTATACTCACCAACTTTGCGTTATGGACTATTTAGTTTTACAGGTCGAAATGTTTTACGTAATGTATGTTGATTTCATCTTTTACATTCTCGAAAGTAATTCCAAAATACATTAAGTGATTCACTCATAAAAACCGCATAAATAAAGAACGTATTAAAACACAAATAAATCAGTCCATTAATTGAAATAGCCAAAAAAGTTCTCATTAATGGTAATAAAGCATCGAACCGTTTTGAGACTATTGTCTATTCCGTGAAAATAAAAGTATTATCAGGGTTGGGAAGTAACGCGTTACTTGTAACGCCGTTACCATTTTCGTTACTTTTTTTCGGTAACGATCGTTACTTTTTTATGTCTGTAACGGTAACAGTAACGTCGTTACCTTTTTACAGTAACGGTAACAAATTCAGCCGTTACTTTTATCGTTACTTTACTTCCCTATTATCTTTTATATCTGTTCAATAGATCGTAAGCTAGTTGCGCGCACTATTCTTGATTGGACAAAAATATTCCGATATTGGGCGCTGGAAGTCCATGAATGCTGCTACACGGAGCGCTTAATCGGGTTTAATAACATCTGTAGTTATAAAACTGGCCAATCACAACTACTTCTCAAAAGAATGGAATAACTGTGATTGGCCAGTCCCTTAACCACGGATGTTATTAAACCCGATTAAGCGCTCCGTGTAGCGGCACTCAATGTCACATGAGAATGCGCTGTAAGCATTTATCGATGTTTCGATTCTGGGGCCCGATTCATGAATTCATTTGAAGAAGAAACATATACGAAAATTCTGCTCTGACAGAAAGGTTGAAAGTCAATTGGTTAAAAGCCACGCGTATATCCAATCAACTTGTAACTTTTTTGTAAGAGCAGAATTTTCGCACATGTTTTTCCTTCGAACAAATTCAAGAATCGAGCTCCTGTATGCTCGATGACTTGCTATATAGAAACTAGTTTAAAGTTTTAAGTTTTAATATTGATTATTAAATAATAATAATGTAATTTTATAATCTAACATCTTACTTTAGCATTTCAACAAAGTAACGAAAAAAGTAACGAATCGTTACTTTCTAAGTAACGGTAACGGTAACGCGTTACTTTTTAAAATCAGGAACGAGTAACGGTAACGAGTTACTTTTTACAAAAAGTAACGGTAACGGTAACGCATTATTTTTTTAAGGTAACGTTCCCAACTTTGAGTATTATATGTATACCACACTAACCAAAAGGAAGGCAAATGCCGCCTGAACGAAGAAACCAGGTTTAATTGTCGCTTCTTGTTAAAACATACATATGTATATCAGTTTTTGAAAAAGTGTAATGTTGTGGAATATTTTTACTGTCATATTCATAAATGCTTTTTTATTTTTTCGTGTTTCAAATCTTGCTTATTAATGTAATCTACTGCAACAAATGTATATTTGAAAAGAACGGTTTTGCTGCAGTACTTAAAAATTTAGCCAAGTACATAATTAATTGATTGATAATTATTGTGATTATCCACGATCATTATTTTCAGATCTATATCTAAATTTTTACGTTCTTGAGTAAAACCGGTTTTTCTGTAAAAGAGTGTGCGATACAGTATCTCACGCCATATATCTCATTAAGTGCCATTTTCTATCGTTATTCTCTCATTTATTCTAAAAACTAGATTAATTTTTTTATTCTGATAATTATATGAGACAAGAGATCGCGAATGTAAGTCCACACCGTAAAGGTGGACGCTGATTATAATTCACCGCTGATATAAACGTAATTTCATGATACTCGTTTTGCTTTGTTAAAAAAACAAAGGCACTGGTGTACGTTAGCACGACGTACGCGCAAACGGATTGCCATGTTGTAGAAGAAAAAGTATATCCTCCTAAAGCCAATTGGCGAAAGTTAATCAAAATCGTCGAATCATTGGATGACCATTCACTAAACATTTTCACATCTAAGTAAGTAGTTATAAAGATAAATAAATATCAAGTAAATATTCGACATACATTTCTGGACATATATGTGAAACTTGTGAAAAGGTACATGGATAATGCAGTCAACACGTACGTTTTCTCTAAGAATTTAGCGGAAGGAGTTATACAGGATTATTCCACGTCATTGCCTTGTGTAATATTGAGGCTGAGCATGGGTAGGTATACGGTTTTCCCGGATGTTACATGAACGATGCAGATAAAATTTCTGTCTTTATATGCATAAATATTTTATGTTTAATGAAATATCTCTGTTTTTAAATTAACTATCTAAATTCAATAGCAAATAGTGTTTTGATAAATTAAATATGTTTATACATTTTTACCATTCTTGAACGATTAACGATGTCAGTTCTAACAGAAATGCTTTTGTTTCCTTCTTTATTGACCACAAAACGGTATAAAAATACGTATTTATACATATAAATGTTTTTAAAATATGTATGAGTCGGTGTTACAGTATAATAGTTTCACAATTGTTTAATAATTTATGCATTGAACGTTAATAAATTATTCACTACAAGAATATTGTCAATGCATATTTGTTTTTACTACTGTGACATTGTGTAGTTTTGAAATTCTTCCTGTCTTTTAGTGATGCCAGCGATTAGCGAACCATATCCAGGATGGACAGATAGTGTTAACGGACCAGTGGGACTATTTATATTGAATAGAAAAGGGTTACAGCATGTAACATATTGTGGAAATGTGTGCCATGACTGGATACCTGTTGACGTTGTCGTTAAATCATTACTTCAAGTGATCTGGAAACGTGGTGTGACTACGTATGATAATCAACTTATATTCTATTTATTCTTGCATTAAGAACATATATCTTTTGTTTTCTTACAAGCGCAAGTCATAGAAAATTCAAAATTTCTCAACTAGTGTAAATAAATCTTTTGAATAATTTACAACTTTGTGTATCACCATCAGGGTCATGCCGGATACTGCACCTTTAGTCTTCAATTGTTCAAGCAGTAATGTGCATACGATGACACAGCAAACAAACATGAAATTAATAAGCAGTAATGTAAGAGAGATTCCCTTTGAAGACATTGTTTGGACCAGTGATACTATTACATTGTATAATCATATTGTATTTTATATATTGTTCACGCTGTGGCAAGTTTTTCCAGCTTTGTTAATGGATTTCATCTTAAAGTGCTTTAATCGTAAACCAATGTAAGTCAATAATGAAAAATATTAGAAACTACAGGGTGTTATGTACGTAATACCCGCCTCTTATTTGCGGATAGAGCGGACTAAACTAAGTCGACAAATCCACTATTATTTTGCAATTTTCGCAATAATTAACAAGTTATTAATTATAAAAAATCAATTTCTAGGCCGGCCTATCGCCCAATTAAAACGCACGGCGAAATGCGGCCGTCCCGCGTTCGTCGCGCGTTTGAATTTGGCAGTAGGCCGGCCTAGAAGACAGGGATTTTTAATAATTAATATCTCGTTAACTATTGCGAAAATTGTAAAATGGTAGAGGACTTTCCAGTGAGAAATGATTCGTCGATCGATGTCGAAACGATGTCGAATCGACGTCAATTTGACGGTATCGATGTCGACATCGATCGACGAATCATTTCTCACTGGGTTTTCGACTTACAAGTCCGCTCTATCCGCAAAAAAGAGGTGAGGCGGCTATTACAGAACACCCTGTATAATACAGCACAGCGTTTATGATATCTGTATTTATAATCTATCTGACAACTCTATGCCGACGTTTTTTAATTCGTTATAAGAATATTTCACAAAAAAGTATAAAAACATTGTTAAAATCAAAACAGGGCGAGTTATTAATACATGAAATAATGATACACTTTTAGAACTCGCTGAAATAATGTCGGAGTCAGTTATTTATATTCAAGGCAAACTGAAAAGTTAAGATGGCGTCAATTTGATGTCATATTGACCAAAATATGACATAAATTTGGTCAATATGACATCAAATTGACATCATCTTGACTTTTCATTGTCCTTGGGTATGTAATATGTAATTATACGACACATCACATTTTTTAGGTTCCTAAAGTTCCAAAGAAAAGTATATGTGGTCAACTGTGCTATAAAATATTTTTCTTTTAACGAATGGACGTTCGGCAATACGAATACAATGGCTCTAAACGAGACAGTGCCACCTGATAATGAGAAAGAATTCAAATTTCACTTAAAAGTGGATCGATACGAATATCTAAGGTAAGTTGAGCGTAACCAGAAACAATATGAGATTTAAAAATAATATACATATATGTATATCATATTTGTCATATCACATACAAAATAACGAAATAATGAACGCACGACTGAATGCTTAAATTAAGTAGAAGTTGGGCTACTAAATAAGAATTATTAAAGAATATATATTTAACCAAATATAATATTATATGTTTCATTTCATTTTATCCCGCGTTATGTGTTACGCTTGTGCCACTTATATAATTATTGTGACGCTTGGTTTCTATCCTTTACTGTAGATTTCTGAAAATTTTCTTCTATTTCTCTTATCTACAGGGTGTTATGTATCGCTGGCTGCTTTACTCTTTATGACTATGTTTACACGGCACCCTAATCGGGTTTAATAACATCTGTGGTTATAAAACTGGCTAATTACAACTACTTCTCAGAAGAATGGAGTGACTGTGATTGACTATGTTTACACGGCACTCTAATAGGGTTTAAATAACATCCGTAGTTAAAGGGCTGGCCAATCACAGTCATTCCATTCTTCTGAGGAATAGTTGTGATTGGCCAGTTTTATAACTACGGATGTTATTAAACTTGATTAAGAATGATGTGTAAACGTAGTCATTGGCCAGCCCCTTAACTACGGATGTTATTAAACCCGATTAGGCCGGGTCTACAATAGATGTAGTAAGTCTTAAGCCGTAAGAAATTGATCAATCACAAGCGATTATTCTCCTCACTTCAGACTGTGATTGGTCAATTTTTTACGGCTTAAGGCTTACTACATCTATTGTAGACCCGGTCTTTAGGGTGAGGTGTAAACGTAGTCATTGGCTAGAAGACAACTGCCAATCCCAATCCAATCCGCGTCGACAATTGCTAGTCTGATTCGGCCTTAAAGCCGGCTCTGTCTGTACCTCTTAATTCATTATCTGTAATCATACTAAACATTCAATTTTCTATTTCTTGCATATACAAGAGGTCTTGAGAGAATTGGATGAGTAAAATATTCGCCAAAAATTTCACAATCTTCAATTTTATTATATCGTGCTTGGGAACGTTATTGTTATTGTATTTTAATAATATTCTTTAATTAAAACTTTTTTTAACTTTAAATCAAGGTCTGCATTATTGAGTGTGAAAAAGTTTGTCTTGAAGGAGGACATGAGTCAAGCAGGATTCAATGCTGCCAAAGCGCACACCAGAAGGTGAGTGCAAAGTGTATTTTATATCAAACAAGTATAATGCTCTCTATGGATATTAATTAAATGTTATAAATATTAAATCTGAAATATCACTGCAATGATAAAAAAATTTTTTAATTTGCATCACTAAAGCTTTACAATATTTTTACAAGTTTGTTAGACACTTAAAACTAAATACTGCATACAAAAAAAATATGAATAATTAATGTTGTACTATTTAATGAAAATATTGAAAAATTAAAAAGTGCTAAGAGAATTTTGGATATTATTAGATAAAAACAAGATTCCTTATTCCTGTTAAATGACAAATTATTTTATTTAACATATTAACTTCATATTTCAAAATTAATACTGTTATTAATACATTAATTATATAAAGGGCTCAGAGCCTAGACGAGGTTGTAGTGTCCACAAAAATTCTTTAATTAAAAGTGAATATACGTTTCGGTCCTTATTGGACCAACTTCGGTATAAAGAAAGAATATAAAGAATTTTTGGACACTACAACCTTATTTAGGTTCTAAGCCCTTTCTACAATTACGTGATTTTTATCATACGAGCCATTGTTATTTATATTAATTACAGTTATTTCACTATTTATATTTAGAATACACTTGCTTGTTGCGGCATTCAAAACTTGCGTTATTGTGGGCACACTGTGGGCGATTTATCACCGGAAAATTTACTCATTTTTTTTATTGTTTCATTTAATTTACTCCTTCAATTTAATTATGTCATAAGATCTTTGTAATAATACACACCTTATTTATAATAATATGCGTTAACATGTGAATTTGATTATTGAAAACGATATAAGAATTAAATTGAATTTTTGCGTAACTACATTTCTACAAAGATTTTGTTTGTTTTACATTTGCGTTCTTATTTCTCATCCGCATTTATCTCTTTCCCATAAAATCTTATAAAAAATCTATAAAAGATTGAGTTTTAGTTCACTTTAGATCTGAATTCATGTAGAAATTCAGAATACTACGGAGAATACTACATTCTCTGAGACAATTTAAAAATTGACAATCTTATGCGTCGTCTACAATACGTGGAGTAAGCTTGGAGTAAAGAGTAAGAGAGAGCCCTAACTTCTAGCTTTTGGTGTGAGAAAGCTGAAATACGGGCATGGTTTTTAAAATATTTGTAACACTAATTGATGGCATTTTGATTCGCCGAGAGTAAACCTAAAGCCCGTATCAGACTACGGATTGGGATTGGGATTAGATTGAAATTTGACCAATTAGAGTAAAGGTTACTAAACTCGAGATTAGTAAACTTTACTGCGATTGGTCAAATTTCAGTCTGATCCCAATCTCAATCCGTAGGCTGAAATCACATGATGCAGAATAGGAGTACGGAATAGAGAGTGCGTTATAGAAACAGGCAATCAGAGCTTTGCCGTATCAACGAGTGACGGAAATGTCTGGCTCTGATTGGTTGCTTCTATGACGCACGTTCTATTCCGCAGCTCTATTCTGCACCATGTGATTTCAGCCGTAGTCTGATACGGGCTTAAGAGCTGAAGTAGGAGTAAGAAATAAAATGGATTTATTTCCTTACTCCTACTCCTTACTCCAGCTTACTCCACGTATTGTAGACCACGCATTATACATGTTCAAGCGCTTAATAAAATTTAGATAATTAACTTATAATTGTTGTATAACACTAATATGCATATAACTAATAAGTAATAACACTATATTGTACGATTATATATAAATAATATGTAATTTTGTATTACTTAATATTGTCTCGATGTTTTAAAATATACATATATATGTATATATTTTTTTTATTCAATACTATTGGATTTTTATTTAAATCTGCAACGCAACGTAAGCTAATTAAAATTTTCACCATTATCGTATGTACATACGACAAATTTTTCAAGCGTGTTGATTGGTTGCAGAATAAAAAATTTTTAGAGTCTCAAGAACTTTTGTATTCAGTGGGCTCTATTCTGTACTCGGCTATCGATAACTATCGATATCGTTAACGACCTTCATGCAGCTTTTTACACGATAGAAAAATTGCGCAAACGTCGTTAACAATATCGATAATTGTCGGTAACCATGTACGGAATAGAGCTTTTGAATAGAGATATTGCCTTTGCAATCAACACGCTTGAAAAATCGTACGACAAATGTATACATATGTATATATATACATATATTATACATATATACATCTGTTAAATATTATTTATTTGTATATAACATTTTTGGTCTAGATACACTTAGTATCACTAAGGAATTAATAAAAATGAAAATAAAAATAATAAAATTATTAACAGGAAAATTCTTCAGTCATACTCCGTCATCTCTCAAGTAATGTTCTCGTGTAACAAACTCCGACACAAAACTCTCATAGCATTATGCGATTATACATGACAATAAAAAGTAAAACAAAAACAAATTTCACAGGTTGATTTTTAGAGAGTAACTCTTCGGGGTACTTAAGCCCCTTCACCACGACAAGCAGGTAGTACTCGAGAAGGGGATTATCGACAAAAACCATGCAATTACATATGTGTATATTTAGAAAAAATGAATATTGAGTGAACATAAATTAGGTTTGCTATTCAATGCACGACGTGAGAGAGAGATTCATCCGAGTTCAATCGTTAAAAAAGGTATTAGGGCTCGTATACATAACATGGGCACGCACTTTATCGGCAGTGTCAAAAGACGCATAGCAAAATAGTTCCAAAAGAAAAAAATGGGCGTAAAGGCGCGCAAAACAGTCTCTTGAAACGGTATCAAGTAAAACGCCGGCGTGGCCGCTCTCAGGTTTCTCTCTGGTAAAACTATAAAAGTCGATTAAAATTGTCAATTCAAAATTCAGTGGGAAAATCGTAAACATGGCGGAACCAATCAGAAGCTGGATACCGCATGTCCAGACTCTGGTCAGAGGGTCTCCAATTTGAGGCCTGTTCTTTATTACTGCACTACTGAACTAGTGTAATAAGTTAAAATGAAACAAATAGATTACCTCTCATTTCAACTCATTGCACCAGTGTGCACTAGTTCAGGAGTGCAGCAATAAAGAACAGACCCTAAGTCCCAGTCTACAATAGAGATTTAAGCCCTAAGCCTTAAGTCCCAGTCTACAATAGAGATTTAAGCCCTAAGCCTTAAGAAATTGACTAATCACAGTCGCGCATTCTACTCATACTTGACCGTGATTGGCCAATTTCTTAAAGCTTAGGGCTTAAATCATCTATTGTAGACTGGGACTAAGAAATTGACTAATCACAGTCGCGCATTCTTTTCATACTTGACCGTGATTGGCCAATTTCTTAAAGCTTAGGGCTTAAATCATCTATTGTAGACTGGGACTTAAGCCTCCGCTACAATGATTCTCGGTTCTGTCTACAATGGTCGTAGTCGTAGTTGCTCGATAAGAATTGACCAATCGCAGTCGATTATTCTTACGACTACGACCATAGAGTCTGTTTTTTATTGCTGCACCCCTGAACTAGTGCACACTGGTGCAATGAGTTGGAATGAGAGGTAATCTATTTGTTTCATTTTAACTTATTGCACTAGTTCAGTAGTGCAGTAATAAAGAACAGGCCTATTGTAGACAGAACCGAGAATCATTGTAGCGGAGGCTTTAATCCATTTTCGAACACATCCCATGTCGTCCGTGTCCCGCGATACCACTATCACAGTGTCCCCACTATACATCCCTAACCCGTGGACGAGAACCGGCTGACTCGCTCGGGCCCCCCCGCTGATCGCATCGTCGCTCGTGTGGTGTGCCCGCGCGCGCACAGGCATGGAGGCGTCCTGATTACCCCCCCGATGACAGACACGAAGCACGGAGCACGGAGCGACGACGACGCCGAGAAGGCACCGCACAAAAGCACACCGTCAACGGCACCGTTAGTGAACTTTGGAACTTCGCACTTTGATCTCTCCCAGGGCGCGTCCGACACCTGGCACGCGCGCACGGCTCTCCTCACCGCACGCTCTCGCACACTTCCTCTCGTCAAGGAATGCCGAATTGAGGTAAGACCCGACCGACCTCGCGTTCAGCGGAAAGATCCTCTGGGTCCGCCGGTGGAAGAGGAGGAGCGGGAGGAGGAGACGAGGGTGCACGTGGGTGCGCAACCAACATGCCTCGGATCTCCTCTCGTGAGCGTCGCATTCTGCGCATTTCGCGTCAGTTATAATAACGAGGTCGTACGCCGATTACGTTCTCCGCGAGGCTGCGGTGTGATAGAAGTGCGGAGACGTGGCACGTTGCAATTCCGCGCCCGGTAAATTACAACGCGTCTGATGTCTGTTACTTTTTCATCACTAACCAACTCGGCGTGCACGCATCCGCAGTGTTACTTAAATCTCTTTAAACGTCGTTTAAAGCGTTTTCGCCGGTCGTTTCCAGGTCTTTATTGCTTTCAGGTAGCCGACGATGTCCGGGATTCTTCGGAGAGGACTTGTAAACAGTATTACATAATGTTATTATAACGATAGCCATTGGTTCTTCCAGGTTCCTTCGTTAGCACTTGTCGAGTTTACGCTAAACGCAACACTTGTTATGTAACAGCTCTCGTACGAGTTAAAACTGCGATGTTAAAAACTGCGGTTTAAAGTTGCCAGAACTCAGTGTCTCGAATTCTTTCAATTCGTTGGTACTTGAATAGTCCTGGGGAAAAGGATGGATGTAACCATTGTAGAAGCTTCGTAGAATCTACCGTTACGAATCGTCACGAAATGTTTTACAGGTTTATGTTTTAGTTTTACCGAAGACTGACTGAGAGTAACGGTTTAACGTTGCTTTAGCCTCCAGCGTAAGCCTGCAGGAGAAGCTTTTTCGGCTTGCCTGCTTAAGAAAATTAATCAGCCATCATAAAAGCCTGCTGCATACGTAACAATCCTCTACTTTTACATCTACTTTTCCAAGAGCGTATCTAACTCGTTTTTAACATTTTCCTGATTTATATAAAATAGAATCGCCCTTTAAACACGTCATTTGCTCCCCTCCCTACACTCTCCTAATTAACTAGATTAACGAGCCAATTGACACTAATGCAGTTTATTTGCCGCTATACATAACAGCATCCAGCATTCTGAAAATTGTACATAGCAACGCTACAATTATTTCGCTCTCAGGCAAGTTGTTTGGCGTAAATACTTGCACACGTAGCTGGCTAATGTCTCATATATATGTACACACACATCCACACGCGATGAACTATTTATATATATTATATATATATAAATTCTTATATCTTTTGTATGGCGCCAATTACGGGTACAATGACAAGTGTATTTTACGTAGAAATGGAAGTTTTAAAAAAAATTTTTCTATACGAGTAACTTCATATCTTTCCATTTTTAAGCAGAGTAGAGCGGGGCTAGTTAGGCAACTTTTTACTCAAACTGTTATAAATCTTTACATGATTGCGATAGTCTAATGAATTTTACTTTAAAAGATAGTGTATTTATTCAGCGCAATAATTAACCACACGTAGATCTTAAAAAAATGGTACAAATAGGAAACATTTTGTTTTGAATGAAAAAAGTCAAGGTGGCTCAACGTACCCCACCCATGGGGCATATTGAGCCACGTTTAGGGGTAAGTAGGGACATAAGGATAATTGCCTAATAACGTTACGTGTTGTACAAAATCACTAGAATTAAGTTGCATTAATCACATCTGCATTCAAGTCTATATCTTTTGATCATATAATAAAGCATACAATATATTCAAATAAAAAATGCTTCAACAAAATTAAACTGACGACTCGAGAAAAAGTAAACATAAAAATTGCCAAGATCTTTAATGGATAGATTTAATTAATCGACGATACAAAAATAGAATAGAAAATAAAAATTAACTGTTGTATATTAATTATAATAAAATTTACGAGACGGAAATTTATGTTTAGTCAGAGAAAAGTGAACTGAAAATTCAACTCTTAAGATATTCAACAAAAAATAATAAATTTCTGTATAAATAAAATAAAATAATCTTTAAAAAATCTTTCTCATTAAAATCATATTAATCATCATTGTCGCAATTGACGCAAACAAATATTGCACTAAAGGTGCACTTTGCATGAGCCCAGCCGTGACAACTGTGGCATACTATAAAAGAAGTAAGGAACGCCAAATAAAGCACCATTTTAATTCAGACTTCTTTCACTTTATAAGCGGGATTAGTTGGAACACTTGACCCAACTAGTCCCATACCATTATCAGCTAAAATATTTTTCATAACAAAGGAACCGTAAATAAAAAAAATTACTGGCTTTGGATAGTCACTTTGTATACCGTGTAGACCAAAAACTGTGATGAATTAACAATTTTACTTTCGACTTTCCAACCAAACAAGTCGCAATTGTATGTTAGCTGACAGCCGGGCACAGACTGCAGAACACGGCGGGGTCTTCTCGCACTCCTCGCTTCTCTAAGCGCGTATAAACATGTTCGCACGTGTTTTGTTAATTAAGATATTCGCGTTGCCCAACTCGCCCCGCCCTACCTTACTCGCCGATTTGCTTCTGTTACAGGTGGAGGAAACCAAACATTTATGTTTTCCATAAAGCATACGGTCTAGTGTTACTCGCTTATTAGCACCATGGGAGTGCCCTCCGTGAAGGAATGGCTGGTGGTACATCTTATGTTTGCCATCACATTTTTTACGTCCGGGTTGATAATAAATTTCTTCCAATGCATTTTATACCTTGGACTGAGGCCCTTCTCCAAGTACCTCTACCGCAAGATAAACTATTACCTCTGCTACTCCTTCTACTGTCGTGAGTATACCTCGTGTTACAGTTCCTGCGCGTTGTTTAAAAAAAAACCTCCAATAATCTCTAAATCTTTACTTCCACCAGAATTAGTATTCATGGCAGAATGGTGGGCAGGATCAGACCTGATATTGTACATAGATAAGAAGGACTTTGATAAATATTTCGGTAATGAGCACGGCTACCTCTTGATGAATCACAGTTATGAGACCGATTGGCTAATAGGTTGGCTGCTGTGCGATCGCGTGAGATTGCTAGGCGTACGTAACTTCTAAGAATGAATTTCTAAAAAAAGAATCTCTGTACACATGTACATAGGAGTAAGAGCACTTATTTTGAAAGGATATATCTTTTAGAATTGCAAAGCTTACGCTAAGAAGTCGATACAGTATATTCCTACGCTGGGATGGGCGTGGAAATTCGCTGAGAGTATCTTCCTCGAGAGAAGTTGGGAAAAGGACAAGGAGAACATCAAGACTCAAATCAAGGAGCTCGTAGAGTATCCCGATACAATGTGGGTGAGTATGCCTTTCCATTTCTTCTTTCTTTTTCTAAACACGAGCGTATCAGCCGCGAATAATATCAAAACATTCGATCACATTTACTACTAGGCATAATTAGTTGTGAAAACGGCTGAGTGATTGATTATAGTTGCTGCTCTATCCTGAGGGTACGCGCTTCACGCCAAAAAAGCTGGAAGCCAGTCAGAAGTTCGCGATCGAAAAAGGTCTGCCAGTATTAAAATATCATTTAACGCCACGCACAAAGGGCTTCACCGCCAGCATTCCGCACATGAGGGGCAAGGCGACGGTCATCTACGATATTCAGATAGCGTTCAAGCCGTCTGATCCCGTAAAGCCGACCATGAGGAATCTCCTCTTGGGGAAACGGTTAGAAGGACATATGTATGCTAAAAGAATTCCCATCGAGGAGGTGCCGGAGGGAGACGAAGCTGCTGCTGAATGGCTACACAAGCTCTATCAGCAAAAGGTAGCGTTATTGAGTTTGCATCTCTCCTTGCATCCGATGGAAACGTTTGCACTATTTTGGTAGAACAGTTCAATTCCGCAATTGATAATGTTTCTCGAGTTCAAGTAGAAATGCTTAATCCGAATTAGGAGCTTTGAGTAGTTTTCTAGTCCACAAGGATAGAACCATGTGCAGTCACGATAATGTAATCGACGTGCTTAAGTTTACATTAAGTTGCCCAACTTGAACATTTCTAAGAAGTGCATTAGAAACCCGTATTGTTTCTCTGCGCGTTAGAACGAAGAGCTTGCAAGTTGACGATTAAGTCGAGCGGAACAATGATCTTTGTCAAGTGACTTTGTTTCGCTCTGACGCGAAAATATAATACGGTAACGCTAGATGAAATCTTTGCCTGGTAGGACCGTATGGCGGAGAGCTTCTACGAAACCGGCGATTTTTTTGCCACGAGTGGCGTGCCTAGGACAGGCTCCTTCAGGCTAAAGAGAAGATACTGTTCCCTTGTTAACACCATTTGCTGGGCGATAGTTGTCCTTGTACCAATGCTATATTATCTCCTAAGGCTCCTTCTGTCCGGCTCGATCTTTGGCATTACCGTCGGGGTCGGGGTTATCTTTGTATGTAAGTAGTACCAACCACACATATTCGCTTATTTATGCCATTATCTTTAGCTATTAGTTACGCTATGATTCACATTATTCAGTTGACAAATAGTAATCATTGTAATATATTGAGAGTTACACTTCAATTCAATTTTGGCTGTAGCGGACGTAGCAAATTGAGTTCGGCTTTTTAAGACCGATTGCTCGACTTGCCTGCTGCTCTGTTGCTCACGTTCCCCTTTCTTTATATGCAATGCCTTTAAGTCACAGAAGACTATCTCAATTCATTTTAAACGCTGTATCAGTCTCATGAGAACAAATCAAATTACAGTTTACGTGCTAATGTACAAAACCCTCGGAATGTCGGAGATAAGCAAGGGTTCGTCGTATGGTGCGGCGGACACGAAAAAGGACAAATAACTTCAAAGCAATTGCTTTACGAGAGATAATTCCCGTAAAACAAAAAAAAACAAGTGTCAAAGTGACGGGTTATCGAAGCAGATTTACTGTAAAATTTTTTAGGCGAGAAGAGAACGAGGAGGAAGAAGGCAGATACGTATACATTTGATTTATACTTTTGTGTAATCCATTCAGTGCGCGTGAGCGCGCAGGCGACAGATGCGTTTTCTGTATGGATTAGATATGTAACACATATACACACAAACTTACACGTACACATAAGAATATATATACATACTTGGTATCATATTATATGACGTTTACATCTTTTCTTGCGTTGACATTTTTTTCTTATATAGCAATTGTTATTGTTAAATAAACGGTTTAATCCCAATCGTCGGCAGCTGTTATTTAGACAAAGCACCTCGGACACCGTATCTCCTTCCAATTCCGGATTTTACAGATTGTATTTGGATTGGTGTAGCCAAACTGTTGTTTTTTGACACTCGTGAAAAGAACTTGTAGTAGCGTTAAATTGTAAGTCAGGTATATGTGTATCCCGTAATATTCTGCCACATCCTTGCTGAGTTAAAATTGAGAACAGCGATCGCTTGTTATTTTATCGACGAGTGCATTTTAAAGTGGAACACAGAAAGTCAAGATGTTCGGCAATTCGTACTTGGACGTTCTACTATTAAGTTACGCGCCAAGTACATCGTATTAGGGGAGAATGACGTGGTAACGTGTCTAACGATAACTTCAACAAATTGCACACTGGAGAAGCGAAATGCGGAACTCAAGGCTGTTCAAAGTCTTTGAAAAGTATAATACTGCGAACAGTAAATTTAAAAACATGCACATACAATACTGTGTCCATTCGAGTAAATTTTGAAATCAATTATATACGTTATTAAAAATAACCCTTCACTTTTAAAACCTGACATTGTACAAGTGAAATTGTCGCTACACCAACGTATATTTGTCAAGTATCACATGTCCGCATAATTTAAAACCTATTTCAGTAATTGGTGTTTTTTAATGAGTGCAAAATAGCTGATATCTATACACGAATCGTTAATTTCATTTGATAGGAAAGTACCTGAGAGAAAGAAAGAGGGAGAGAGAGATACGTTAAGTTTCAGGTTTATAAGCGATGGTTTCATGATGACGTTCTTGATAACCGCCAGCGGGGCCCGCAATGTAGCTGACGACTCTGAGTTTCCCCTTCGCATCGTAAAAACCATATCGACCCTTGACACTTCCGTCCCGACGGCGTTCTTCCATTTTGTACTGTCGATTTTTTCTACAATAGAAACGACGCATCAGTCTTTCCAATTGTTTCCTCAAAAATTTCTATGAAACTCATTAAATGACTCGCATATGTAAGCAATTGATATAATTATAATATGACGACAGAGCGATAAATGTTTACCCGTGTCCGGTATCAAAACCAAATATATATGTTCCTGGTCCCTGATGATTCCTTATCTGAAAATCTATTCGACTTCCGTCTGGTGATCGGTCCGTTGCCCTCTTAGATATCATAGCGGGAAAAATTGTCGAAACGTTGCTTGCGTATGGCAGCGCGACTCTTCCGATTGTACTGTCATCGTGTATTGGCGACGTGATCGCGAGTAAAACAAGTTTTAGAAGAAGCTACGAAGAAAAATATAAATTATTAACTACAGGAATTATATTGCATATTACTTTTCTTACAGTTCTATTCTAGATATTGGTAATCTCTCTAGTGACAATCGAAGATATTTGGAGTCGAGAACGACAATAAGATAAGAAAAATGATACGGCCTGTCTAGGCCGAACAAAGGAATGGATTTGAAAACAAACGTAAAATCTGAGAACGAACGTACTACGAAAGACTTTCGTTTATTTACGAATTTTTCTTACTCGACCGTTGATTTTGCATCGGATAATGACAACACAACGGAATATTTACTACAATTACTCAGCGAAATGTAGGAGTTTACTTTAATCACTTTCACATCTTCGCGGTCTGTTGCTGTCCTCGATTTACCCTTTAGTCTCATCTCTCGTAGAGGAAAGTCCCCTATTATGAGATAGCACGGTTTTTACTAAATTAATAAGCATAATTTATTGGTTTCATCGTTAATTTATTGCTCTTGAAGTGAAAACTGTTTAGTGGAAAATTCATTGTTAGATTGTGCAATCGTTGTGAATAAAGATTTGTGATTAAATTTTGATGTTAAAAACCTACTATCTCATAATAGAGGACTTTCATCTATATACGTTTTTACTTTGGAAAAGTGCACTACGACTAAATCGACTTTCGTAAAAAAAATGATGGATTTCTTGTAGGATACGTATTTATGATGATAATGCAGGTACTTACAAAACATTTGGTATACATTATATCTTTCTCGTGGAACAATTGCTGGAGAACTGATCGCTCGAACATGTCATACCTTCACGAAGCTCTCACTTTCCCCATGATTGAATTCTTTCCTTTTTGTCTCTTTCTCTCTCTTCCCCGACAAGCCACTGATTTTCTCTCACGAAGGACTCGCTCGTAACAATAGTCACGGTAATTCAATCAATAATTAGAAGAATTGCATAAGAGAGGTAGTCGAGCGTATCTCCGTCCGGAGGTATAGTACAATATTTTTTGTTTTGCGACAATTATTTGTCTATCAATTTGTCTATCACCGATGATACAAGCATTCTTAGTGCTACTGAATAAATATGCGTGGAAAAAATGAGAAGGTTTATTCGGAGGTACGGAACCCGCACGAAATGGAGACCAGAGTGATTCTCGTTGTTCTATGCAGCCTTTGCTTGTCGCTGGAATCAGCAAATGTAAGTAACTGAAAGAGATCCGTTGGTCGCGTAAAATGTTTCTTTAAATTCTGAGAATAAATCAAAGTATTTTGTTACTATTTGTTTTCAGTATTATATGTGTATACTGCTTATATTTAAGAAAAAAAAATATAACAATAAATTCTTGGGTTCAGCAAGTTTTTATATGTGCACAGTCATTGAAATGTAGAACAGGAGTCCAGCAGGCAAACACTCAGTACGAAAAAATCATGCAGATTTGTAAGAAACGATCCACGACTGATGATGATGATTATAACGATTCTTCGTCAAATGAAGACGAAGATAACGATGACTCCTCGAGCATAGATTTGTTTGGTACAAAGTTTTACATGAGTGGCGGCAACAAGTTCTCCAACAGGCAGTCTTGGAAAGATCTGAATGAAAATCGGTAGCAAGACAAAATAGAATCGATACGATTAAACATCAGAAAATTAACAATAGTTAACACTATTCCTCACATTATTAATATAAATAATTAATGTCAATGTAATAATTAAGGAATCGCGGGAATGATCAGAAAAACGGTAACGATCGGCGTTATTCCGTCAATCACACAAATGGAAACTGGAGAAATGCTCAACATCCTTCTCGTGGCAACAGTAATCGTGATTTTAATAATTTCGATGGAGCAGGCAGACCGAGCTACGACCAGATGTACAATGGCAATTCTGACAACTACAAGCAACAGGAACAAGCTGTAAGATACATCAATAGATCTCCAAATATAATGTATAAATGTGTATACGTATTTTTTAAGTATTGAATTGATATTAAAGAAATGGCAAACCAAAATGAATAAAATATATAAGATAAGAGCATTATAACTATCACCTGCAGCACTGTAACTAGAATTTCTTATCTCTGATCTCATAAAGAAATTAAAGAAATCTCTCATAACAAAGTGTTACGCTACAATATTTTATATGCTCTTTTCTATTAATTTCTATATTGTAAATCATGATTACATCGTTTCGTTGTAATATAAATCTGTTTTGGACCAATGTATCCTATACGGTTTTTATATACAGAGTGCATCTAATAATTGATATTAACAAAATATTATTTGAACTTATAGTGCATCACCCAGTGTTTCTTCAACGAATTAAATATGGTAAATACATAGACGGTTTCAAAACTTAATAGACAGTAACTATAGGTTCATTTTCACAATTTTGGCTTTACTAGGTGGATCAAAGGGGATTCCCCGAGCAAGTCTTAATCATCCAGTTTTTGACACGTAACGTACACAATCCGGAACTACAGGACTTTATTGAGGAAGCTGTCATAGAATGTTTTCATTATTTGGATTCGGACATGGGGCAGAACAAATGTTATTTCTCGGAAAATCTCCTAACTTGTTTGATTGACAAAGGAAAGGAAGTATGTATACACAAATTTATCAACAGAATTGTTTAAACCTAACATATGTGGACATTTTAAGATTTCTCTATCTTTCATACAATAAATTTCTAAGTAGAAGTTCAAATCTGCACCCGAAAATTGCAATTTAGTTAGCAAACGATTGAAAATCTTAAAAAATTGTTTAAGAATAAATTTCACAAACACAGGGAATTGTAATATTCTTTGTAATTAACATGATAATTTTTCTTTCAGAGATGCGAAGATTGGGATAATTAATAATACTATACAGACGTCTTGTATATGTATATAATAATTGACTCGCTATGTATACTTTCTTCGAAATGAAAAGAAATAAGGAATGGGAAGAATTAATCATTCTTTCCTAAAACTACGATTTAAATAGATATTATATACACTTATTGAACATTGTGAAGCACATATAATAACTATAAAAAGATATTACATTAACATGTTGTACATTAATATTATAACAATTTATACATACTTCATTCTTGGATGGAGCATAACTATACACTTTTAATTTCCTCACTGCATAAGCATATAGTATAAGACTGCCCTTCCCAAACCCTTTCTTATTGCAAAAGGCACTACTAAATACGTTTCGCATAAAGTGATAAATGAAAACGATGCGTTTCAAATATTTATATATCCACCGATCGTTACTTCCTCTTCTTCAGGTCCTCGAATCGTTTCATCAAGTCGTCAAAATCAATGTCATCATTCACGGGTGGATTCGCGGGCGAGTCATTGTTCTCTGTCGGCACTGCTGGCAGATCCGGAAGTTGATAATTGTTCATCGGCATTTTAGACCTTGGCTGGGGTTTTGGTTTCTCATCTGACTATATGTGGAAAACAATCGCATGTGTTTCGTGAATCAGTAGAATTTTACGAAAATATTTTCGTACTTTAGATGAATACCGTCCTCATGACAGTTGTTTCAATCATTTTAATAATTATTCTCCGCAAAACTTAGGAAGATGAGAAGAATCTTACGACCTTACCTGTTTATTTAAATCAGGCGGAAAGTCAGGCCGGTACGGTGGTGGTAAATCTTCCTAATTAATGATATTCCAAATTATTATAACTAAGAAAACTGTTTCATTGTTGTCGTTGTTAATGGAAAAATATAATTACAGAAATTTTTTGCGATAAACACAAGTTACTTACAGGTTTGTTCGAATTGGCATTATCTAGGGGTATGTTATATGAAAATGCAGTCGGATTGAAAGGGGTATTCTGATCTTTCTCAGTAGAAGGTGGAGATGTTGGGGATACAAATCCTAAGGAAGACGTATCTTTCTCCGAATCCTAAAATTGATACACCCTTAATGATTTAATGCTTTAAAACGCCCAGAAACTGTCATTGGACAATTGTCGTAAGTTTAACTTGCCAATTAAAATTCATAAAAATTACATTAACGCTCTTTTACGTCTTTTCCTTTTTAACAAAAAAGATTTAAATTACCATGCTGGAGTGGAATCCAGGATCAGGTAACAAGGGTGCCTGTGGGTAACCTATGAAGCCAAGAGGATGAGGTGTTCCTCCGCTGGCCGTGTCCAGATTGTTCCTCGATTCTCCCCCGTTGGCTCCTATGTCTATCAACATCGCGTCCTGGCCTTCTGCCATTACTTGCGGATCCGGCTCATATTCCACGTTGTAATTCTTGGCGATTTCAATTAGATATTTCTCCACGAGCAATTTCGACGGCGACTGCACGCTCATTTTATGCTTCAGCTTCTCTGATATAGTCTGAATCGCCTCCTCCCGGCAAGCTTCCGTATACTGTTTACCATATTTGGACGTCAAGATGTCCGCTATCACCTTGATTTCCAGCACGTCCGTCTGGATGCGAGGTGCCGCCCAGAGAATCGTCGATATAGCTTCCGCCAGACCTTCGTCGAGGCTTCTGGAGAGACAATAAGGTCATGATAAATTTTTCATTATTTAAATGACCATCAACTTCGATTGAAGTACTCGCTAGTTATTTTATTTTAATCTAATATGTTACTGATAGATTATTGACCGGTCTTGTCTGTCAGCCAGTCGTGAAGGAAATGTAAGGTAGAAATGGAACGCAAAGTTATTTGGCTGATCTGTATATACAGCCACGATACCGACTTCATTTGCTGGATGAGACCAAAACGTGCCAGCAGCAGGTCGCAGTACATCTCCAGCAATTCCATCGCCTCCACCATGTAGTCCTCGCGGATGATGTACTCCACTCGGATCTTAGCGCGCTCCGTTTTGCCTGCGGCAATGAAATCGGCGATCTCGCGGCGCGCCTTTTGCGCCAGCTCCGTTTTCTTCTTCTCCAGCAATTTCAATCGGTTGATCGCCAGACGCAAATGCGTCTTCAACTTGGTATAGTTCGGCCCGCTCGAAAACATCCTCGATGCGTTTCCAGTCGCGCTCGCTCACCAGCCTACGTTTCCTCTCGCTGAAAGTTTACCCAATTTGCATTCGTCTGACATTTTAACTTCCGAGTGGTTAGAACGCGATACCGTGATCCGATCTGCGCGCTCCTAAACTGTTGCAGTGAGATCAGAGCCGATTGTAGAGATTGATATTTTTACCGTAATTGTGTTATTATATCTTATATCTACGAATGTTTCTCCCATTATTTAACGAGAGCATGTTGCGACAATATTTGCGACAACAGTTCAACAGATCATCGATTCGTTACAATTTTGAGTCAAACTTGCATCGTTTTTTTAAATAAGAAAAATAGCAAATAAGATTAAATATACCTTCTGACGACGGTAGCATAACCTAACCTCTCACTGATTAGGAGAATGACAACTCCCGGATGACATCAGTTGAGTTGCGTTTCGTCATTCACTACGACACGTTCGCGACCCAACTACGCCTATCGCAAGCTACCTGTTATCCCTGTGTATCCTGTATTCTGTGCACTACCGCTTCTTTAGCGCATGCGCATTGGAAACAGGCAGCCATATTGTTGCAAAAAAGGTGCTCTAGGCGCACCGTGTTTATACTATTTATAGTATCTGTTTAAAAAAAAGGGGCCTGGAAATTAATAAAATATGAAATAAATTGTGAAAAGTTGTAATCTGTTCTTCTTTTTTTTAAAAGCCTTTTGCTGAACATATAAATTCACGTTAAAGTTCAATTTACTTGGATCTACCCTAGCGGAAAAAATTTCTATAAATAACTACAAAAAATTGACTTGAAATAGAAATTTGTAGAAATTTTTATATCTTCGTTGAAACATTAATTTCTTTGGAAAAATATCTATAAAATAGTATCACAAATTACAATGTTCTCAAATCAAGAAATTATTGCAAGTAGTATTTCATGAAAATATACCATTTTGTAAAAATTAATACAAAACTTTACTAGTTTAAAAAATTTGAGAAAGAACGAAATCTTAAAGAATTAAAACATCTGCTTACTTGTAGAATATTGCAAAAATTAACAAAAGTGTTCCAATTCTAGCATTTTTATGTTGATTTTTATAACACTTTTTAAATTTACGTAGAATTTCTTAGATTCTGGCAGTTATATTTAATTTTTTTGTAGAATTTTGTAGAATTATTTCCGGCAGGGTACTTTAAATCTTACTCGGCCTTAAAACCACTATTTCCCAATGTCTGTTAACTTTAACCGACCATTAACTGTTCAGAATAGTCAATATTGGTATTCTAATAGTGGCCAGCCTGAAAAGTTTACGGTCAGTTAAGAGTTAACAGACGTTGGAAATGGTGGTATTAGAACTTTACAACTTTAGCGCCATATATAATGCTAAAGCCGTAGCGGCAGCGGCCACCGCCAGCAAAATTGATACGTCAGTAGGTATTTGAGTGCACGAGAAATAATTTAGAGACTAATTTAACAAATTACTTTTGCACGAACGAGAGAGAATATCTCCTTCTTATGACGACAATAGAATTGAAGTTAGTTTATTTAGGGGGGAAAAAAGTAATAATTAAGAATTTTAAAAAAGCGCAGTCGTTCCATATTTCGCTCAACGCAGATTTGGTAGACCTCGTATGGATGCAAAGTGGCCACACCTTCGAAGACCCCTTTAACAATTTTTACATACAATTGAAATTAACACATGATTTCGATCAGATGTCAAAGTTTATCGGATGTCGAACGAATTAAATGTATGCATGTACTATAGAAAGTAGAAATAATATAATGTAATTAAAACAATACATTTAACATATCATATGTTTGACTTACATATATTTAAACATTATCACGATTTATTTTATTTAAAGATGAATAAATTATGCGGTACAATGTTCGTAATGTATATGTAGGTATTCATTTTGAGTTTTATACCGTCGTAATTATATTAACACAAGGTAATGGTGAAGAAATTCGGAATGAATATTAAAATTAGATAAAAGATAATAGATAAGCGGGGGATGTGAAGGACTTTGGTCACGCTGCATTTTTATGCTTAATATTATTTTTAGAGATTCGAGAATGCCTGAAGGCACATTTCTAGAATACACTGATCATATTTCGAGATTGAATGATTGATATGAAAATTAATTTTTCTTCACAAACAAGCTCTGTATCTCAACTCTCGTACACATATTTCCATAACAAAAGTATCGGTTGTTAAAATATATTTAACATTCGACATCACTGCAACATTAATATGTATGTAGAAGAATAATAATAATGTCGAATAATGTATATAAAAGTGTAACACTATATAATACAGAAATAATAAAGGAGAGGGACAGTATTGTAGAATTGTGCTGTAACTTCGGATTTGGTTAATTTTACTGTTAAAGCGTTACTATTTCTTATTGGTATGTATTATATAATTTTATGTAACATTTAGTCTTTTCAATAATTTACATTTACATTTAATTTCTCGAAAAACAAATAACGGCATCCCGTTCTAGAATGTATTTGCTTTGAAAAAATAAAAACACGATGAATCGATCAAACTTGCACGTCAGCATTGATGCTGAAGAAGAAATCGTTATTTCTGGTATTGCTGGCCGATTTCCTAACACCAACAATCTCAAAGAGCTACAAGACAATCTTTTTAACAAAATGGATCTTGGTACAAAAGAACATGGACGGTGGAATAATTGTAACTTTCCTTTTGAAATTAAGATATATATTCGCGTATTTTAGTAAAAAGATCCCGTACAATGTACTTTTGATCATAATTATACATTCGTAATATAAAAATTGCTATACAAAGCGACTGAATATGCTTGCATTAAATAAAACAAAAAAATTAATTATAATGCAAATAAATGTAATAAAAATTAATGTAATATAATCAAGATTTTTACAACAATTGAAAAGCAACTTTTTCCGCTGAACGCGGCCATTTGGTTTCTTTGATTAAGCACTTTGTTCCATTGAAATACATTTGATTGGACACATTTGCAAAAATTTGTTACGTAGGAACAAATCTCAGAATATCATTTTTGTTTCAAATTATTTTCTACTTTTTAACGTTTTCGAATCTGTCTTCATATAAAGCACATTCTTACGTCTAACTTTGACCCTTAGGTCAAGTTCACCATCAGATGCCCATTTTCAAACCATAAAACTTTTGTATTTAACCTTTTTTTTTCAAAAACGTCAACCCTTCAAGTTAATTCGGGGTACTTTCTTTTCTGGTACATCTTGTATATGTACATCATATTTTGAAAAGATCAAAATACATGTTGCGGATCTTTTTGATGCCTTTATCATTCTTGAGATAAAACAAAATAAATATACATATAATATATGTACTTATATAAAATAACTCTAATTATATAGACTTCGATATGCCTTCTCGAATCGGTAAGATCGATAATATAGAAAAGTTCGATTCGCAATTTTTCAACATATCCACAATAGAAGCTGATATGTTGGATCCTATGGCCAGAATGGTACTGGAGCATACGTACGAAGCACTTGTCGATGCAGGTGTCAATCCTAAACAGTTACGAGGAACAAAAACGGGTATTTTTACAGCAATTTGTGCCGATGCATATAGCGGTTCCATCTATTCTAACCCTAATGTACGATGTATTCGTTTATCTAATTAATTTATGTAATATTACTAAACCTTTATATACATATAATTTCAAATCTATATCTTTAATTACAAAATAAAAATTTGTACAACGATTATAATATGAATAGTTTTAAAAATACATGTATATATACAACTTATTAATTATATAATCTAATATTTCGAGTATTTAAAAAATGTATGTGCTTTAATTAGTTGGGTGGAGTACCACCATATTGGTGCAATAGAGCCTTCGTGGCAAACAGAATTTCTTATTGGCTTGGCGTTAATGGACCATCATACAATATGGATGCTGCATGTAGCTCAAGCCTTTTCGCCATAACAGAGGCTTACAGATACATTCAAGCTGGACAATGTGATGCCGCTATCGTCGCTACATCCAATCTATGCGTCCATCCTTTCATCAATTTCGGATTTTACAAGCTTGGTATGCACTTATAGTACCTTCAATAATACTTATAATACAAATTTTAGAATGCTGATATATTAATCTGTTTTTATTTACCAAATTAAAACTATTTAAACTACTCGTGTTTTGCTTTAATTAATAGTTCAAAATTAAAATGATTAATATTAATATATATATATATATATATATATCTCTCTCTCTCTCTCTCTCTCTCTCTCTCTTAACGTATCACTGAAAAACATGTGTTTATATTTGGTTCACTAATTAAAATAAAAGTATGATTAAAATTTATTTTGCCATAACACGTATCCCTTATTTCTGCACTCAACAATGAAATCAAAACTTAAAAAATTTATTTAAAAAAAAATAAAATTAAAGAATTTGGTTCGTTAGTATCAATTTCTTTCAGGGGTTCTGTCCACTGATGGTTTTTGTAAACCTTTTGATGAAGAAGGCTCAGGATATATGCGCAGCGATACGATGGCAGTGGTGTTTTTGCAAAAGGCGAAAGATGCCAAGAGAATATATGCAACCTTCGTATACGGTAAAACAAATTGCGATGGCTTTAAAGAAGAAGGGATCACTTTCCCATCATCCGAAGTGCAAAAAATATTATTGGAGGACTTTTACGAAGAATGTGGAATATCGCCCGCTGAATTGTCCTACATGGAAGCTCATGCAACTGGTACTATAGTGGGTGATCCTGCGGAAGTAATATCTATTGATCAGGCTATATGCGCTAAAAGAAACACTCCTTTATTGATGGGCTCGATAAAATCGAATATTGGACACGGCGAACCTTCTAGTGGCATTAGCCAAATTGCAAAGGTATATTTGTAACAAAGTATTTAAGTATCAAATTTGCTTAGATTGCAATTGTAACAGTGTAAATTTTGTATGTCATTATTAGATTTATTTATTATAATAATTTACGATGACCGCACGATTAAAATACTACTAACAAAAGAATAAGTACAATCTTTTCGAAGGTATTATTAGCGATGGAAAGTGGCATATTATTGCCTACTATACATTTCAAACATCCGCGAAAAGACTTGCCTGCTATTGTTGAAGGAAGAATAAAGATTGTCACGGAACCTATGAAATGGGAAGGTGGTTACGTAGGTGTTAATTCCTTTGGTTTTGGCGGGGCTAATTGTCATATATTATTAAAATCAAATCCTAAGGAAAAAATCAATAATGGAGCACCAAATGATGACTTGCCTAGACTTGTAATCGTGTCTGGACGTACGAAGGAGGCTGTTAAAACCATTTTAGATGACGTAAGCAAATATTTGTAAAATAGTTAAATCAAATAATAATCGGCGTACAGTTTACTGACAATAAGTTGGAAAAGGTATACACAAAATTCACACGGAAAGTATTAAACACCAAGATCCAGCCCGATCGAAAATGGCATCTTTTTTTTAATTAATTGTAATTACATAGTGTTTAAAAAAATATTTTTGCAAACGTGAATGTTTTTAGAAGAACTTTAAATTTGTCCGAAGAAGAGAAAGTCACTAAATTGAGTAATAATAAAGTATTCTATCGAAAACACTTATTGCAAAATAAAATAATAATATATTCCTTTTGTGTATAAAAGAATTGGACGAAAGAATAGAGCGACTAAATATTTCTTTATACTTGTTGCAGGTGCAAAGTCGATCTGTAGATGTAGAATACATATCTCTACTACATCATATTTATAATGTCAATACAGACGGTCACTTTTATAGAGGGTATACGATAACTGGGTCTAAAATACCTCATAATACAATTAGTAAAATAATCTCTCATCCACATAAGAAAATACCAATTTGTTTTATATTTTCTGGACTAGGATCTCAATGTTCTGGAACGAGTAAGTGTGTGTGTGTGTGTGTGTATCAGTACGTTAAAGGATTAAACAATTTTTTATTAAAATTTTAGCAGGTCGAGATCTAATGAAATTTCCAGTATTTGCCAAAGCAGTCCAGAAATGTGATGTTGCTTTGAGACCTTATGGCACATCTCTTACAAATATTCTAACAAGTAAAAATGAAAATATTTTCGACAATATCGTTAATTTATTTTTAGCTGTCGTTGGAGTACAGGTAAACATTTTTTTTATTTAAACTTCATAAGTGCATCTTGTAACATATTAAAATATGCATAAATTTTCATTTTATAACACTGACTTTTGTTTAAATGGGAAGATAGTTTTTTTTATATGTATGTTACAGATTGGAATGGTCGATCTTTTAACATCCATTGGTATCATTCCCGACTTTATAATCGGTCATTCCATTGGCGAACTAATGTGTGGATATGTCGACGGATGTTTGACAACCGAAGAAACAATTCTGTTGGCATATTTCATTGGTTTAACACTTCTCGAATCGAAAATAATTAAGGGTGCCATGGCTGAAATTAATCTCGATCTTGATACCTTGAAAGATATGTGTCCTTCGGACATTGATATAGCTTGTTACAATAGCTCGTCTAATTTTATCGTGAGCGGACCAACAGATTCTATAAAAGCATTTCTCACCAAATTACAGGTACGTTATTCAACAATCATACGATATATTATGAATACTTAATGGATTGATACTTATAACGATCAACAATTATGTTCGTGTTCATTCTTTTAGGCTAATAATGTTCAAGTAAAAGAGATTTCTTGTGGTTATATACCTTTTCACAGTCGTTACATCAAACCTGCTGTAGCTAAGACTGAAGAACACTTAAATCGAATATTACCACAAAAGCAGTTTCGTAGTTCAAAGTGGCTAACAACATCTGTTCACAAATATTCCAATACACTTCTGCCTTTATGTTCAAAATATTATACAAATAATCTATTATCCTTGGCATTATTTTCAAAGATAATACGTTCAATCCCAAAATATGCAGTGACGATTGAGATATCTCCTGAGAACGTTCTTCAACACATTTTAAAAAATTATTTGCCCTCTACGGTAACAAATGTAGCGCTATATGAACGTACCGAGGATCATAGTGGTAAAACATTTTTAGAATCCATCGGAAAACTTTATAATGCAGGATTGCAGCCGGATATTGCAAATCTCTATCCAACAGTAGAATTTCCTGTAAGCCGCGGTACTCCAATGATTTCTCCTCTCATAAGGTATGCATATTTTGCGTTTATGTACAAATAGACAAATAGCCGAGTAATGGAAACCGTGAAACGTTTAAATAAAGCATTTAATTTACAAAAGTACGTTTGACAAACAACGCAATATCGAATTATATATCTGACTTCTTTCTCAAACTTGCTTATTATTGATTCTGGTGTCTGACCATAAAGCGCGACACTTATACAGGGTGTCCTGAAATTCGCGAATCAAAATACCATAGCAAGAATGTCTGTTTTGAACCTTTTATCTAAAAAAAACTACTGTTCGGAACGAAAAATGGCAAATAACTTTTTAATTTATTTTTTCGACGACATTCTTGCTATGGTATTTTGATTCGCGAATTTCAGGACACCCTCTATAATAAATCCTGTTGTTTTATTTATTCCAATGATAAACATATACATATACATATATTCATATACCAATTGTCTCATACCTGTCGTAATGAGAAATAAATTAATATACTAGAATCAGTGCTCAAATGTTATATCAATTTCAGTAACAAATAAATAATTAATTTATACATATATGACTGTGTTACATAATAAGTTTTAACTATGATTACAGATGGGATCATTCTGAAAATTTATATGTATTTAAATATAGTGAACAATGTGTACTTAACAAAAGAGAAATAGATGTCACAATTGACATACGTGATGAGACATTTATATATTTAGGAGGCCATATGATTAACGAGAGATATGTATTTCCGGCTACGGGATATCTTTTCTATCTCTGGAAAATGATTGCAGATCTGAAAAAAGAAGACTATGTCAATGTGCCAATTGTATTTGAGGACATTAATTTTATTCGTGCTACAGTGTTAACAAAACATAATCCATGCACATTACATCTTTCGATTCAGAAAGGTAATATCACATAAAAATAAATTTTCTCCTTTAGATATAAAACTTTAAGACATTTTTTATGCTATATTTAAAGTACAGAAATTGTTATTGAAAACAACTAAAATATGGATTTTTTTACACGTATACTAATTATTTTTGTATTAAGCTATCCTACATGTTGACATATCCTACATATTCTTATTCCTTAAACTTATATGCTATGTTAAAAAAAATTATATTTATATCTAGATAGCAATAGATTCGAGATAATCGAAGGAGGTAATGTTATTGTTACTGGAATAGTACGAATTCCAACCAATATTGCAAATGAAAAGATACCCACTGATCTTGTTGAACATGCCGATGAAGAAGAAGAAATGAATACCAAAGACATTTATAAAGAATTAAGGCTTCGTGGTTATCAATATTCCGGCGTATTTCGTGGATTGAAAAGCGCATCAGTTACGGGATCTAATGGTCATATCGCTTGGACGTACAATTGGATAACATTTATGGATAATATGTTACAAATGACGATTTTAGGAATGTCTACAAGACAACTTTTGGTTCCAACAAAAATTCGCAAGCTGACAATCGATCCGAAACATCACATGCAGTTGAAGTTTATTCTAGATGGTTCAGTTGAAAAAGGACGTAAGTAACGCAAGTATACTACAATGCAGCCAGAAGTATCGTACATCGATTACATAATCTGACAAATCATTTTCTTCTGATATTACAGAATTCGCTATTCATAATTACAAGAATCTAAATGCTATAATATCCGGAGGAATAGAAATTTGTGGCATTATAGCTACACCTATATTACAGCGACAAAAACTTGTTAACACCGTTCTTGAAGAATATAAATTTGTTGCTCATCGTGACTTAGAGACCATGTCGTTAAAAGATGCAATAAGAATGTCGGTGCACGTTGCACTAGAATGTTACAATATAATAAATGTTAAAATTATCGAATTTATCGATGATACTGATAAAGTGACATTAGAAGATTTAAATTCTCCAATTGTTAGTGAAATTTTAAGTAATTTACCACAGATTCGACATAATGCCAGAGTAGTAACGTCTCATGGAAACTTTCAAAATATTTCTTTGCCTAACAACGTTTCTACAGTCGAGGTTACTAAGCTGTCCAAAGATGAAAATTGTTTGATGGTCATAGGTTTCGATATTTTGACGAAGAATAACAAAAAATTATATCAACAGTTAATGTCTCTGTTAATGCCACAGGGTTTTCTACTGACTCTGGAGAAATACGGTGCAGTATATGACTATTCGTGCTTGAAAACGTATGAGTTGGATATTATACTAGAGAAACGAATAAATGAAAAGACACTTTTATTGCTAAGAAAAAGGCAAAATATTGTGAGAAATCAACGGATTGTACATGTCAACAATTATGAGTTTACATGGGTAGATGAAGTGAAATCACTCATGAGTGTACAAAACGAGATTGGTATAGATACGAGAATCATACTCGTGGCCGAAGGAGATTTCGAATGCGGGCTACTAGGTTTTGTCAATTGTTTGCGAAGGGAACCGGGGGGCGAAATAGTTAGAAGTGTGTTTATTCAAGATAACAAAGCGCCTGCGTTTTCTTTGCAACAGCCGTTATACAAAAAACAGCTGCAGTTAGATCTACCTATCAATGTTATGCGTTCCGGTAACGTTTGGGGATCCTACAGGCATTTGCCATTGCCATCGTTGGAACCAAAACTCTTACAACAGGCTTATGTTACACAGATGGTACGTAAAAAAATTCTAGTATGAATTTTATTGTTTATACAAAACTACCTTTTTAAAGAAATTAAAAAGTATGAAGAAAGGAAACACATCCTTAAGATTCAATATTTATTTTCTTTTAATGTATTATTTAATAAAATTATATATTTCTTTTGAAATAAAATTGTTCCCAGAGATTTTTGAAAGTAATAATAATTACTTTACATTTTTAAATATATTTTTATCTATAATATTTTTCATACGAGATTAATGCAACAGGATAAGATATAAATCACAATACAGTTGTAATGTTTTTAATGTTTTGATAGATGAGAAACACTACCACGTCTCTTGATAAGTAATCATTAATGTTTATTCATAACAGGTACAAGGGGATCTGAGTACTCTTTCCTGGATGCAAAATGATCTACCTTTTCATGCTAAGCGTGAAGATCTTATTAATGTAATCTATTCGTCTCTAAATTTTAAAGATATTATGTTGGCTACTGGTAAAATCAGTACTATGGCATTATATTTTAACATTTCATCCGATTTACTCGGCATTGAATTTGCTGGATTTGATATGCGTGGACAAAGAAGAATGGGAATGACCTTATATGGGTACAATAATAAATATATTTATTAATAATCGCTCAATGAAGAAACTATTCACATTTAGCAGTATTAATGTAATTTCAAAATTATCAAACTAAATATTGATTCAAGTCAAAAACATGTTAGATAAATTAAAATTAAATAAATTGTTTTTTTTCATGTAATTTTGTATAATATAATTATTATAATTGCAACATAATCTTTATGTAATACACACAAAATTATATGCTTCCAAAAATTATGTTTAGAGGAATAACAAACATTTGCTTGCCCGAATATCTCCATTGGAAGGTACCCGATGAGTGGACAATGGAAGATGCAGCAACAGTTCCGTGTACGTATAGCACAGCTTACTACGCTCTATGTATACGAGGTAAAATGACCAAAAAGGACAAAGTGCTAATCCATTCGGGTACTGGGGGCGTTGGTCAAGCCGCGATCTACATTGCCCTTTACGAAGGTTGCGAAGTGTTTACAACAGTTGGAACCGCCGAAAAACGACAGTTTATAAGAGAAACGTTTCCCTCTATTCCGGAAGAAAATATTGGAAACTCTCGCGACACAAGCTTTGAACAAATGATTATGCAGCGTACAGGAGGTCGTGGAGTAGATATCGTATTGAATTCTTTAGCCGAAGAGAAATTGCAAGCATCTATTCGCTGTCTAGCAAATGGTGGCCGCTTTTTGGAAATTGGAAAATACGATATGATTTCTAATAATCCACTGGACACATCTACTTTCTCTAAAGGCATCAGCTTCCAAGCCATTTTATTAGACAGAATGTTTTATATAGAGTCGAATGACAAAATACAAGTGTACAAGGGAATCGCAGATTATTTGGAAAAGGGTATTATTAAACCGCTAAATAGAAAAGTCTTTGAAAAAAATGAGGTAGAAGCTGCATTTAGATATATGGCTACTGGAAAACATATTGGCAAGGTACGATTATTTCGTAATACACGTAAAATATGTATTAAGAATAACTATATGTACACATTCTTTTTTTAACATTGTATATATAAAAATATGTAATAAATGTTTAGTCATTTATAAACTAAATTTGATTTTAATCATGCTTTACACACATTACTATTAAAATTTATAATATATTAATGTGTAATACTTAGACATCTTTTATTAAAGAGTAATGTATACTTTGTTCGTTTCTGTCTTAAGTACAATAAATGTAAAAGTTATTTCTTGCAATAACAAAATTATATCATAAAATGTGATATTAAAATTAATAATAAAATACAAAACAACAATATAAACAAAGAAAAGGTAAAATTTTTGTCTTATTGCTTACGTTTTGCTTTATAGTAATTATATTTTCATTGGTTATTTGTAGGTAATAATAAAAATTCGGGAAGAAAATGAGCCTTTGGATGCTCCTCTACTCGCTCATCCGCAATATTATTGCTTGGGACACAAGTGCTACGTTATTTTGGGTGGACTAGGTGGTTTTGGTTTAGAGCTTGCAGACTGGTTGATTCGTCGAGGGGCAAAAAATCTGGTATTGACATCACGAAGCGGGATAAGAACCGGTTATCAGCTATCGAGAGTAAAGCTGTGGCAATCTAAAGGCGTGGATGTACAGATCGTTACAGTCGACGATACTTCGAAACACGAAGAGTGCGAATTTATATTGAAACTTGCTGAAAAAACAGCACCAGTGGATGCTATATTTAATCTTGCGGTTGTTTTAAGAGATTGCATATTTCAAAATCAATCGCAGCAAACATTCAAGGATTCATTCAAGTCGAAAGCATGGATGACGAAAAAAATGGATGAATTGTCGAGAAAGATCTGTACACAACTTAGACATTTTGTCGTGTTTTCCTCCGTCTCGTGTGGAAGAGGGAACGCAGGCCAGACGAATTATGGGATGGCTAATTCCGTAATGGAAAGAATCTGCGAAAAGAGGATGGAGGAAGGATTACACGGTTTAGCAATACAATGGGGTGCTATTGGTGATGTTGGACTCGTTGCGGATATGCAAGAAGAAAGTAAGGAGTTAGTTATTGGAGGTACATTGCAACAACGAATATCTTCCTGTTTGGATACATTAGAAGTATTTCTCCTACAAGACCGATCTGTAGTAAGCAGTATGGTTGTTGCTGAAAAAGGCACAAATATCAGCGGATCAATGAATATTTATGAGACGGTTGCTCATATTATGGGTAAGCAATTTTGTGTGTGAGCAACTAACCCGGTAAAAAAATTTTCATGCATAAACACGAAGAAATATATAGAATTATATAAAAATAAACATACGTCAAATATGTCCATACATATTTTTACATTGTATATTTACAATATAATTTTATACAATTCTACACAGTTCTGCATACTTTTATAGATTTATACATGCGTTTATACGAAAAAGTTTTTAATGTGAAAAATTACTTATTTATAATTATATATAATTATGTACAATTGTACAAAGTTTTACTTTCGAAAATTTTTCATATAAAAGCATGTATGAATATGTATGGACATTCTTATATAAAATAACAATACTAATAATAATACTATACTAGTAATAATACTATATATTTATGCATGAAAAATTTTTACCGGGAGTATAATAAAAATGCCTAAGATATTTATAGAATTAAGTATACCAATATGTGCTACTTTAAGAGATTATGTGTACATATCAAGTAACATACACAATATATTTCTAATTCTTAATTTAATTTGAAACAGGATTGGAAAATACAAATACAATAGCGCAAAACATAACTCTAGCCGAACTGGGTATGGACTCAATGATGGCAGTAGAAATTAAGCAGACCTTAGAAAGAGAATTCGATGTCGCTTTGTCGGCACAAGATATTCGAACTCTTACTTTCGCTAAACTTAAACAAATGACAGATACAACCGATCAAAGAGAGATTGATGACATAAATGGCATAAGTAATTCAGAGGGTTTGGACACACTGGTTCAAATAATTGAAAATTCAGATTTGATTCCGGATGTTCTTGTAGAACTTCCTACAAAGAAGGAGATTGGTAGGGGCAATGTATTTCTCATACCAGGAATCGAAGGATGTTCAAGCGCATATAAATCTATAGCCCCAAAAATTAAACGTTCAGCAATGTGTATACAACATGGTGCACTTAATATCCCCGGCCAAACTCATTCAGTGATGAAGTCAGCCGCTCATTTGTTGCCTGTATGTATAAAGTTGTAAATTCTTAAGTTTAAACTTCTTATTTTTATTTTTGTCGTTTAATAATAATTTATATATCTAATAACTTCAATAATTTTTTCATGTTAATATAGTCCATGTACACTTATATTCCTTTTTTCAGTACATATTGAAGAAAATGGGAAATGAAAAGGAATTTTTAATAGTGGCTCATTCATTTGGCTGCTTGATTGCTGTCGAATTGGTGAGATTATTGGAAGCTAATAATTTCTCTGGACGATTAATACTAATAGATGGAGCTCCTGAACAAATGAAATTTTCGATAGCTCAATATTTTGGCGGTGTTTCGCAAGAAGAAGAATTACAAAATTTGATATTACTTGATTTATTGGAACTGTACACTACAATTAATCAGGAAATGGTTAGGAAATTATCAAAAAGATACTTCAAGTTTTTATTGCAAACATTATTTATATAAATTTAACTATATATTATTATAAATAAAATACAGATAGTATTTTTAGCATGCTTTATACTTGCAAAATACCAATATTTTTTACTTATAGGTTGCACTAGAACTGGCCAAATGTAACACTTGGGATGAGAAATTAGAAATAGCCCACACTTACTTTCCGAAGGAAGTAAATGCATTGACTCTCGAAAATCAAAAACTTGTATGTTTGACAATTTACGAACATGTAATCGCTGTACAGAATTATGATATATCTTCATTACCACGCCTTAAATCACCTATAACATTGTTAAAACCCACACTTGTTACTATCCCTTTTATTGAAGAGGATTACGGCTTACATAAGGTAAATTTGGAAATCTTTAAAATAAGATTTTTATTTTAAAGGCAACTTTATAACAAGAAAAATTATCTTCAGATTACCGAAGGTGAAGTGAAAATTTGTTATGTGGAAGGTACTCACGTTACAATGATAGAAAACAACAAAACCATATTAGCTATTAATGAGGAATTGATGAAATAATAATAAGTTCATACTATTATACATTTGAATATAATTGCATATATGTATATTTTAATATATTTTGATATATATGTATTTATATATATTTATATAAATATAAAATATATAATATATAATTCGTAGCAGAGATAAAATAAAGAGAAAAAGAAATTAGAGATTAGAATTTAATCCATCAGAGTCCAATCCATAAGTCCAATTTTAATTCGTTTGTTCATATACATACAGGCTCCGCCACCAAAATCCGGACAAATTTAAATTTGAATTTTCCGCCTCATTTGAATTAAAAAACCATCTGCCAGCCTAAAGTAGTCTAATAATTTTTTTATCGTTAATCAATTACTGGCGATTCATTCTTTCGTTGCTGACATATAAATTATATGTATAATTGCAAAATATAAAAATTTGCTCACAAGCTACGTTGTACTCCTTTTGCCAACAAAATTTGTAGTAGATTGTTCTCGCTAAACTTGGTTTTCTATATATTTTATTATAACTTTGCATTGTCGGGTTATAAATGAAATGATGCCTCTCCTTTAGATTTGAATTAAATTTTTATCTTATAAAAATAGACCAATTTATAGAGGCCCTCCACCACCCCCGCCGAATTCTTATCGGCGGTCCTCTTTTGTTTGCGATAAAATTGCGTTTTTACATTTTTATAACTTAATTTTTCACAACTTATTTTGAAATATATACAAAAATATAAAAAGAGAGAGTAAGTTACATAGTGAAACTAAAAACATGATGTACAATAAAAATATGTACAATTTTTCATTATGACATAATATTACATATGAACATGTTACATGTGTTTACAACAATACGTACCTAACTCTTACAATATAAAGCATTAATAGAATATGTTACACAATACACACAACGTGTTACATATGTAGTTGTGCTTATAATTGTGCAACATTTTTTATTAATGTGTAAACGAAAGATCAAACTGTAAAGGCAAATTTAGCGATCAATTGCAAACGAAACTATCGATTAAAAGACTATGTGAATCAAATTGAATTAAAATTTTATTCGATAGAAACAAATCGACCTATATAGAGGTCCTCCACCACCCCCGCCGCGTTTAATCGACGGTCCTTTTTTCTTTATAATTTGATTTCTTACATTTTTATTATTTATATCATTTTTCTTATAATTTACTTTACAATACACATACAATATTATAAAAGAAATAATGACATTATAAATTAAAAAATAAAATATCTGTACAATACCTACAATATTTGTCTCGACATTATATATGAAATATTCGATATACGTACAATAACGCGAAATTCCTTTTACGTACTTATTATATTAAAGTTATTGTTATTTTGTTAATTTATGTTATCTAATTTTTTAAACTATCGAATTATGTCTCCCTATCCCTGACTATCCGAATCCCTACCTACCCGTATTCCGATTTATACCTAGACCTACTTACTCGTGTTTCAGCATAATAAACCTACAAATTTTTAATTAACCGCGACGCGATTTTCTAGGGGTTTGATTTGGAGTTTAACACGTCCGCGGGATTTAATAGGGGTTTCACTCTCGCACATATGCGAGAATGTATGTATATAGAAGCATAACCCACCCGAATTGTAACAAATCAAAAGAAATCAAAGTATACTTCGTACAGCACCTTACTTAGGTACTCCATCAGAGTGGCCAATATTGACCACTTATCTCGTCGTATTTAGTCCTTCGTTGGGCCAGATTGGACCTACCTTTCGTTGCTCCCGGCCATACAATCTGGTCATTTTGACCAGAGATCAGGAAGGATGAAAACTCCTTCCATAGTCGGTTATCGTCACCGACAAATATTTCGTACGTTTCGAACAATATGCGAGCGACGATTGTATCGAAAAATGCACGACCACGAGAAGTTAATTAAAGAAAAATATTAATTAAAAAAACTTTATGGTATACGTACAAATCAAATTTATTTTCACTTCCGTTATTTATTAAACAATATTGACCATCTCGTAGCTTGATCTTTGAATTCGAAATTCACGTAGATATAGAAAAAAATTTACTTCGCGTTAGAGTGATTTTAATCATATTCCTCGATAAAGTAAAATTTATAATATGGATAAAATTAAATAATTAATTGAAAATTTTTCCTGAAAAACCGACCGCGAAAACCGACCGCGAAAATACAAAGATGCGTGTGACTATGCATGTATTCATGCGAGACGCATCTTGAAAATACGTATATCACGTACATGTACATACACATAATAAATGATGTGAGATCCAGAAAAACAAAACTTCTTTCACGATTCCAACCGATATTATAATTGCATATTATAATTAATTAATAACCGCAAATAATATATAAAAATAAGTTAAAATTTTAGTGTTCTGGACAAAATATATCAGAATCTCACGTCATATTATTTTACTTTATACAATATATTCAATTCGTTATAATAAAAATGGATAGGCTACAATTAGCTCGACGAATACATTATTAATATTCGTCATATTTCGCTTAAGTTCTGTAATGTAATTCAATGATTTTCAACATGGAAAATGAGCTCGACATACTCTGATTTGTAAAGCTCTATGAAATTACTCATCTCCGGAGATTCAATACAGTAAATAAAATATTTACTTGCCGTTAGCATTTGAAACCTATCCATTTTATGGCAACAAATATACAAAATAATTTACGATCTACAGTCTATGATCTACGAGATGTAAAAAAGTATGTAAAATTACATACATAATAAGTGTAGCGATTACACTATTAATAACGGAACCATATAAATGTATAATATGTACTTTTACAAAAAAAATTTTTTACTCTTTGTTGTGTAAATACTCGTTTACACATGATGTAAAATTTACACAATCAAAAGCAAGCAGTTTACTTATTATATGAGGTAATAATTTGACTTACAAGGAGTAAATTTACTGAAATAAATGGTCCCAACATTACTCACTATAATATTTGTAATTTTACATGTAATTTTTTACAGTTTGTATACTCGTTGCCGTAATAAAAAAGTTTTTGTCTTACCGACCCGTCGCGCAGCAGCGGAGTTTCACTACGTTGATTCTGTAACATACAATTAAAAAACCACATTAAAACAGAGTATTCAAAAAACCAATATTAAAGAAAATAATTTTTAAATTTAAACGGTATAAACATCTGAGTATATCTGACCATATCTGATTTGATATACTTATAAATGGATGCATTAAAATTTGGATATAATCTGATCAAATTTTATCATATCTGACATTTTTGATACAATTAAATAAAATTGGATATATGTATGTCTTTTTTCCCCGGGTTTGACGTCAAGGTTCATCAGGTACGTGATAAACAATTAAAAATTTCATATTAATTAAACGTATGCAGTTTTGAATGACATTATACTGAACAAAATAATAATAACGTGTCTAATTTCCTAACTTTTAGACAAATTAACAATGACAAATCAATCGCCATTAAGTTTAAATGTTTTACTGTACATTGATGCTCCCTTTTATTTGGTGAATAATAAGAAAAAGTTGGTACATAAGAAGAAAATTGTTTTCATTGACGGAACCACCATGACAATTCCAGTAAAATTTTTGCCAAATATAAATCCCGATAATCCTTATTCGCGAAAATATAACGGCGTGCTCTGGTTTGAATATGACGGACAACTTAATAAGGTACTGGAAGATATATCTAAACATGTCTATACGATTTCCCGCCAAGTGCGAGATACGAGCCGTGATCCGTTTCCTTAATTCTCGCAAAGGGAAAAGCGCCGTTTGAGATTTTCCAGGAGATTAAAACTGTTTATGGCGAAGGAGGTATGAACCATACGAATGTGTTTAAGTGGTGTCGCAAATTTAAGAATGGCAGAACGAGTGTTTACGACGATCAGAGAAACGGAAGACCATTGATTTTGATTGACGCGCTTGTGAAAAAAGTCGAAGAAACTGTCTGTGACGATCGCAGATTAACGTTGGATGAAATGAGTGATGTTTCCACAAATCTCTCAGATTCACACTCATTTCATCCAACGTTAATCTGCGATCGTCACGGAAAGTTTCTTCGATTTTTTTCACAAGCGCGTCAATCAAAATCAATGGTCTTCCGTATCTGATCGTCGTGAACACTCGTTCTGCCATTCTTAAATTCGCGACACCACTTAAACACATTCGAACGGTTCATACCTCCTTCGCAATAAACACTTTTAATCTCCTCGAAAATCTCAAACGGCACTTTTCCCTTTGCGAGAAGGAAACGGATCACGGCTCGTACCTCGCACTTGGCGGGAAATCGTATAGACATGTTTTGCGCGTCAAGTTACTACGGCCACAGTTTTCGTCGTACTGAGCTGTTCCACGGCTCATTCGAATCGGGAGGGCTTCCACTACACGCAGTATGACCACTTTTGTCAACAAAAATTCCTTACGCCCGTGAGAAAATCAGTACTTTCTGAACTGCCTCGTAAAATACAAACGCAGAACAGATGCTTTATTTTGCACAAGTAGCAAATAACATAAAAATGTAAGACACTTACCTCACGATTTCTCCGCCGTTGCCCGATGCCTTCTTGGCCTCCTCCTCCTCTCAGATTTCCTTGTTGCACTCACCAACACTCACTCGCAAAAATCATCGATCGCGCGAAATTTCGGGCACTCCCGTACGCGATGTGAAATACCGCCGAAACGCACGAAATATTATTAACAAGTATCGCGTGACTTTCTGTCATACAAATCACTCAAGCTTAATATAACTTAACTTAATAATTAATCGAAGAACGTTACTTGTTACTGATAAAGGTGTACAAATCAAAAGCGTTTTATCCTTACATTCATCGCGATCGAGTCTTAAAAACCGATAACGCAAAAGTAATAACACGCACGGAGCGACTCTCGCTACTGCTTGCCGGCTCGACGTTCGGCGAGCGAGTGAGAAGCGTAGCGACCTAGCGACCTTCGGGTACACGATGGCACGCAAAACATCATACGTCACCGCGCCGGGAGAAAAACAACTACGAACGTTGAGAATTCGTTGCCTTTTTTTGTTCCGTGACTGTTACTACTGTTACTGCTTTGTGTATTACTTTGCGGACTTATTGGCATCGATTTAATAAACGATTAATCCTGTTCAATCGAGATAATGTATCGGAACAAAAATCGTTGTTACTTAAATTTTAATTACTAAGATTAGAGATTTTACCTCAATAGTGGGTGTATACAAATGTATATTTCTACATTGCAAATCTTCATTTACTATAAATCTAAAAGAGAAGTGAAGCACACCGCGAGAGTGTGCTTTCGAGAAAACCAATCAGCATCGCGGAAAGAAGGCTTCAACTGTTCGATATTAACGATATTCGCACTGGTAAGTAACATCTCTTTTCTAAAAAAAGAGAAGAAAAATAAAATGTTTAATAAGATGTACTTTTCACAGCGAAGAAAATTGGATTTCTTATTTAACCAAAACAATTATTTCATTTAATAAGTAGTATTCTATACAGGGTG